AGCGTACACTTGTGATTTAATTACAGACTAAGCAAGGAATAGAAGTGATTGTGTAAAGGCAACGACTGTAGCGACCCGTCAAATGCATAAATAGCCATCCCTTGCGGAGTTTTCCACCACCAAGGGATGAACGAGGGAAACAGAGGGTACTTCTGGGGAAGGAATACATGCGGAGCTGCACGATGATCAGATCATTTCCTGGACCGAGTGAGAATACTCTCGTGGCGGTTACACATGGTCATAGTGACTCCAAATGGATATGCTGCCATCACGATGGATGCATTTCCCACTGCAATCTGACTCCGCCAGATTGGTCCTTACTGCCACCGAGGCTTCAGATATTGGGATCCGCATATGGCTTGCATGGAAAAAGTCTGTAGGATTGGCATAATCTATAACAGAGTTTGCGAGCCATTGGCAAGCCGAGTATGCTCGCGGAGGCTTTCAAAGTGCGAGGATAGAAGAGGTGGATGACCGTCCTTGCGTCCTAATCTTCCCTTTGGCCACTCCTTGCAGAGACAGACTACCTGCTTATTGATTCGAAGTGCTTGCTGAAGCTTGCGGGCAGACGGAGTCTAGTTTAGGTTCATTTTACACTTCACATCCTCTATCCCGTGGGAGATTAGCTGCGATCATCAACATCACGCACGACCAAACTCACTTCATGTACCCCAAACCATCACGATCCGCGAACTTACAGTGAACTGCAGTGCCAGTACCAGACCCCCGCGTCCTTAATCTCGAAAATTCAATAAAATCCCCCGCATCAATCGCCGGGAGCAACTATCACTATCGCCCCGACGACGAGAACAACATCACCACGGTTCACGCCGCTATAAATTGACAACACAAGCATCATGACAAACTCAATCCTCAACTCGTCCCTCATGCAGCGTCCACGCAAAATGAAGTGCCTGTCTTCTATTTTCCTACCCTGCTTGCAGGCGCGGAAGCTTCGTCGTCAGCGACGGCAGGATTACCATGCCTCGTGGACATGTGCAGGTATCTCAGAGCTTGCGCAGCCTACTGAGCCATTCCCCGCGTACGAGCACGAGAAGCAACATCACGGTTCGACAGAATTGTCAGCTCTGCCAGACCAGTCTAAAGATGTTGTCACCAAGACCCCGCAGATGACACCATCTATCCGCCTCGTTAATCCTGCGGACTCGGAGTGCTCAACGCTGGACGACCCAGATGAGAAACAACCACAAGGCATCCAAGATGATACCGCTGCGAAGCAGACCACCACGCTCTCAGACGATGATACCGACGTCGAGTCCGGTTCCGAAAAGGCTTCACGGGTCATTGACATGAAGGTCGGCCCTCAGACTGAAGAACCTCTCAATCCCAAAGCCCACCTGTCGCCGAAGAGCAAAGACGACATAGATCTTGAGCTGTCAAGCCGCCGCATTCCCCGCAGTCCTGATAAGAAGCCCCGTCCTGCAAGCATGGATGTGCCTCCTAGCGCAGCAGCCAAACTTCCAGAAATCAAGAGCCGTATCATCGAGGACATCCCGGAGGACGTTGAAGAAGAGGACAAACACGATGCAGATATCAAGCACACTGTGTCTGCAGTTCCCGACGAACAAGCAAAGCCAGAGGAAGAGCATGGCTCCGAGACTGCCGCAACCAAGCCTACTAAGCGCACCTCGACCTGGCGTCTCAGCCAACGGAAGTCCATGAACGAGCTCTTCAACCTTCTCCAATCCACCGCCGCAGCTGTCGCCGCAGCCCCCAAACTATCTAACCTCAAATTCGCCATTCCTCCCAAATCTCCTCTTCGCGCATCTCCTACGAACGACTCCCCACATCATTCCTACGTCTCATCCGTCTCCTCTACGTCCAACCGCCCTCCCACTCCCCCTCCCAAGTCACCTGTCCTCAGACCCAACAGCAGACCTCTCCCCGACCCAGCTCAGCTCTCATCGTCCGCACCACCTGCGTCAGGAACAAGTCTGGGGAGCCTCAGCTCAAGTCCTACAAAGAAACAACGCCGGATGGGCACCGCTGTCTTCCCTCTTCTTCCGTGCAAATGGGCTGGTATTCACGACGAGGACATGAAGGAGAAGCACAGCAACGATACTAACCGCAACAGCCAGACTCTTTTTCAGTAGCGACGGAGTTAGGTGTACCGGTTCCGGGTTTGTATTTTGTTGGTGTGTATGGTCCATATCGGAGGGTTTCGTGGGTGTTTTGAGGTCTCTTATTTCTTTGATGTGATATTGCTTTCTTTGATTGGGAATATTTCTTTTGTATTTTCTTTACTCTTCTCTTATCTTCTCTTCTTGTCTTCTTGTTCTTTTCTTTATTTAATGGGAGGAGGTTTGATCGTTCTATCCCGTCTCCTGCCATTATCTATGTTGTCTGAAGAAAGCAACAGAGGTAGGGTCTGACGGGAGGGATTGTATGTATTCCTACTAGCCTGATCGGCCTGGCCACTTTCTTTCTTTCTTTCTTCTGTCTTTCCTTTGTTGTTCTCGAGATGATACGATACGAGGAGGAATATGTGATGGTGATGATGGTGTAAGATACGACGAATCGTGGATGGAGGATGGATCATACATACACATACATACAAACTTCTCATAACTAACCTATGCAGAGCATAATGATAATGTTATTTGACAAAAAAAGCAAAAAAAACGTTCCATTGTGTTATACTACCTAAGTAGTAGGTAAAGAGAGCATTAGGTTACGTTGAACGTAACCATTCATTCATCATACGACCGTCTCTCCCTCCTCCCCATGTTTTTTGGATGAGTGAGAAAAGGGAATGGAAAAGGGAATGTCTGCGTACTACTTATATTATCTTATAACCTCTCTCTCCATTGCCCGATGTAAATGGCTCCGACCTCGCCCTCTTAACTGTTCTTTTCCTTCTTCTCCCTCTCTTGAATCCTCTATCTTATACTTATCGCCGCCTTCTTTCTCTCATATCTATTTCCACTGGTTACTGTGCCTTGGAGATTTTAGCTTAATGTACTGTTCTATTTATTCTACTGGAGATACAGTTTGATCTGACGCTCAGCTTGTTCTCCTCCCCCCCCCCCCCCCCCCCGGCCGGGAATGTAGTTATCCAGGACGAGGATAACTGGGATAATTCAGCCCGCAGCGGCATTTATGTGATTTCATACGCAAATTTCTGCTTCTTTCTAGAGTGTATTTGTTTATTATGCTATAATATCATCTAAGTCTTCCTTTGATAGTGTGTCTTATTCATCTCAGAGTCTACTATTCTCTTTCATGTCTGTAATATACTGGTATGACTTGGATGCTGTATATCTTGTTCTATCTATCCTATCTGTGATTGCATTGTATCAACCTGATGTTGTAGAATAGCCCGCTCTTGCCATGTCGTGAATACTGTGATGTTTATTTATTGTTATTAACGGTCTCTCCGGGCCATCTACACCCAGTCGATGAAATCCTTTCAAGTCCAGTTTGATTAGTGTGGACTAATAGCAAAAATACCACATACGCTTTCGGCCTCGGTCAATGCTGTATCTTGCGGCCAATTCTATGCTGCGACTACGGAAGCTATACTATGAGTACCATGTTGCCTACGGATTGGGGAGCGTGATGGGGAATGGACTGAGAACGGGGTGATGGCTAGTGCAGGCATGTATGGAAGGGCTATCTGTGAGGGTAGTGAATAAGTTTGAAATGAGCTGTAAGTTGTTATTTTGGGCTGTGGAACTGTCAAGATCTCGTGTATCTGATTGTAATGGCCTGGATTGCAGGATCCATTTAAGATTATGCTTAGTAGAAGTAGGAACTCATCTCGTGGATTTCTGTTGTGGATCAAAGAGAATACAATTCTACTAAATGGCAGAACTGGAATTCGAATTACTAAATACTTCCTTTATCCTGTCTGTTCCTGTCTTTTTTTAGTTTTCTTTTATGGTGTCTATAGTCATCACATTAGGAGAGTTCCAATCATAATATGTTTTTTTTACTTCATATATACACTATATTTCTATCTATATTTCTAAAGCATTTTATGTCAAATGTGGGTTTGCCATAGAACCCATAACAGTGGAGTGCTCTTTAGGACAGAGTCCCGCTTCTTGGATGTGTTTGCGTCTAATGAGCAACCAAATGCTTGTGTGTGAAGAGCGAGCATAAACAGCAACAGGGTTTCCCGAAATTCCAGACACATCTTTTCCCAGACTACATCTAGGAGATGTTCTGATATAAACCAAGATTTCTTGACTCTTCAGCTCCCCAATAGCCAAGTTATTGAAGCATGACCTTGGCTTAGAGGAAAGCCAGTCGTCACTGGAGAATAAGAGAAATTTGACGAATCGTAACATACTCTGGACTGACAGATAATATTCCCTGGAGGAGCCTGGTATTCCGTGATATTCGAGATTTGCTGACGCGAAAGACCCCATGAACCAAATTTGAATCAAAATAGCTCTTAGAGTACAGTGGTTCCAAGCCCTTGGCTCTACCATAATCAATGTCTCTATTGGTGCCTGATTGCGGAAGGGTCCAGTTTGGGTATCTGTGCCCACCTTCACTTCCCCAGACTCCATTTTCCGCCAGATCCACCTAGTCTACAGACTAGGTTTCCATATATATATATATATATTTATTTATTTCGACATTCGCTGACTGCTACTCTGACCATCTTGGTATTCAGCGGTGAGGCTGACAGCAGTATCGTGACGTGCTTGCTAAAGAGGCTATTTTTACCTTGAAACTTACCTGTGTTCCCATCTCACGGCACAATTATCAAGCACGACATGGAGAATGAGCAAGCACATCAGAAAACCACCCAGTCTAAGACAGAAAGTCACGATCAGACTTGTCCCGATGTCTCTCGCTGGTACACGGCCCCCGTGAACGATGACAGCTGTGGCGGAGAATCGGGCTCCCACGAGGCTACAATCGAAGATCAAGGATCACTAAGGCTCCTGGATTTATCAACTCTAGAATCAATATATGCGCGCGGAGTCTACTGCCAGCAGCAAGGGGCTGTCACAGAGGCAAAGGAGATGCTATTGCGTGCATCGAAGGCATACGAGGAAATATTCGGACTACACGACAACAAGACCCTCGATGCCCTCGAGTACCTTGGTACCACCTATCGGCAGACGGGGAAATTGCAGGAGGCTGAGAGTACATATAACCGCGTTCTGGAAGGTCGGACAGCCCTGTCAGGTCCAGATCATCCGACAACACTGGTAGCGATGAACCGACTGGGCGGGGTATATAAATGCCAAGGCAGACTAAATGAGGCCGAGGAGATCGCCAGAAAAGTATGGAAAGTCTTCGATAAAACCGAAGGACCTGAACACATATCGACAATCAGAGCTTTCGTGTCGCTCGGGAATATTGCGCTTAGACGAAATGATATCACCAAGGCGGCCAATATCTACGCAGCTGCACTGGACCATTGCAAGGTAGCACTTGGACCCGATCACTCATCCACGCAGACAGTATCTAGCAACCTTGCGTTGGTTCGTATTCGCCAAGAGAGGTACCCTGAAGCTGAGACAATGCTCATCGAGCTGGTGCAGCAGGTGGAGGTGTGTTACGGCCCAAAAAGTGTACGTGTCCTGGCACCACGAGTGAATTTGGCAAATGTCTATACGCGCCAGAAGAAATATGCCGAAGCACAGGAGACGCTTTATACACTACTCGAGATATACAAAGAGACATACGGGGAGGATCATACGAAAACAGTCAATATCATGCAACAACTGGCGTGGAATATGAAAAAACAGGGTAATCTTGCCGATGCTGGTGAGATGCTGCAGAATGCGCTCGTCTTGGCCGTGGGCGCCCGCGGAAATCAGGATCAAGTCTCTATTGATATCATGATTGCTTTGGCCAATGTCTTGAACCAGCAAGGTCAATATATCGGCGCGCAGCGGATCCACCACCAGCTATATGAAGCGTACCAGGCGAAGTTTGGCAAAAATAACTATCTAGCAATCTCGTCGTTGATTGACGAAGGGGATATGCTTATCTACCAGACGAAATATACCGAGGCTGAGGCAATCTTCAAGGAATCCACTCGACGGTGCGAAATTGTGTTTGGCGCGGAAGACGAGCGCACTATATACAGTCTGGTGTCCCAATGCTATGCAGCATATGGGCTGGGAAGGATTCAAGACATTGAGTCTCACATCTGTCGGCTGCTCAAGGATCTCGATGAAGGCTCACGATTCTGGAGCAAAAGAGCAGCCTGGCTATTCTTTGAGATGAGCAAAGGTTACTTGGCTAGAGGCGCGATCAAGGAGGCAGAGCCTTTGGCAGTGAAAGCAGCTGAAATATCTCTCAAACTGCTCGGCCGTGGTGATAACGAAACCATACTGCTTGGTCTGAACCTGGACCGGGTGCGGCGACAGCTTTGGCAACAGCAGAAAGGTCTTCCTGTCGAAGACACAGTATCGTTAACACGTGACGAGACAACTGACTCGATGATCAGGAGATTGGAGCTTTCACTGATGAAGAGTCTAATGCGCCCAAACCCAAGTCTCCCCAGGTCCCTCCGGCTGCTAGGCACGCTGTACAATGCAAAGTGGAGCGAGGATGGTGCCATGCTTCACCTGGAAATGGCCATTGACAAGCTTGAACTGGCGATCTTGATTGGGGAAAAGGACGATGGAGATCGGCCGGAATGTTTGCGTGCTCTGGGCAAAGCATACAGAGCCAGGTTCCTATACCAGGATACACTGGAGGACCTGCGAAAGGCCATAGAGCTTGCCGAAGCAGCCCTGGAATTGAAAGTCGAGCCCGACGAATCTCGTGCAGAATACCTCGAGGACCTCTGCCAGAATCTGATTGATCTCCATGAGCGCGCCTCGGGTCTGGAACATCTCGATAGGGCGATTGAAGTTGGCTTGGAAGCATTATCCTTGACTCCACTAGATCACCCCAAAAGAGGACTCTATCTAGGCCGTCGCGCATCGGAACTCTTAATCCGCTACCAGGAGATTGCAAATCGCGACGATCTTGAGAAAGGCATTGAACTAATCACGGCAGCATTGGTCTTGACACCCAAGACTGAGTCGCAGTGGAGTAATTTCTGTTCGATTCATGCAGACCTTTACAGGCAGCGATTCAAACAAGATGGCAATATAAAGGATTTGGAAAAGGCGGTGGATCATGCCACAGTGGCTGTTCGCGATGGACCGGCAGATAGTCCACTCTTGTTGGATTCGTTGGCACGGCAATTGGAGTATCGATATCAAGCACTTGGGAACAAGGAAGACCTCGACAAGTCAATCGTGGCTGCAGAGAGAGCTCTCGAAGTATGCGAGCCTGGCAGCAAATACCGAGCGGACTATCTCACAACACTGGGCAATATCCTGCTGGAGCGGTTCGATGCAACCGGGCATCAAGAGGATCTTAACCATGCAATTCTCCATCTAGAGAACGCCCGTGATATACCGAAGACAAATGCAGTTGCTGAAGCAAGATGCCTGAGTGGATTAGCTACCGCATTTACATTATACTACAAACGCACGGATGACCACGCGAGTCTTGAAGCTGCTATTCACAATGAAAGACTGGCCCTCGAGACTCTTCCCGATTGGTTTGAAGGAAAATCTGAGGTGATGAACAACATGGCACTTCATTTGACAGACAGGTTTCGATGGACAAAAATGGCCGACGATATCGATGAAGCCGCGAAGTATGCGGAGATGGTCCTAACCCTGCGCCCCCCCAACCATATGTACTACGCAGGAAGTCTGAACAATATTTCCAATATCATGGAGGCTAGATTTTATGAGTCAAAGAACTTGAATGATTTGAATTCAGCAATCGAGAAGGCTGAAGATACACTATCAGCCACGCAAATTGACCATACCAGTCGTACAGGGCGCCTTTTCAACCTCGGTGCCAAATATGATGTCCGATATGGAAAAAGTAATGACCCTCAGGACCTCCAACTTGCCGCGAAAAGTTTTATAGATGGCTGGAGGATCATCCATGGACCTCCATTCCATCGTGTGATGGCTGGTTCTCAGGCCGCGCATCGACTGATGGAGTTGGGAAGACTAGAAGAAGCCACAACGATCGCGATGGAAGTCGTTGATTTGCTTCCTCAAGTCACTAGCCGATCACTCGGTATCACCGACCAGCAACACGTTGTCCGCAAATTCTCTGGGATGGCCGGGAACGCCTGTTCCCTCCTCCTGAGCGCTGGGCGACTGCACGAAGCATTGGAATATCTCGAGCGAGGACGGACTGTCATCCTCGATCAGTTAATGAGCAGTCGGATGGATTTCTCCGACCTCGAATCCACATATCCGGAGCATGCTGCAAAATTTCGACAACTCCAGGACGATATCAATAATACATTCGACTGGGCAGGCGCGGGAATTAGCGAAACGAATTCCTTGGTTCAAAACCGTCTCGCATCGGTTTCCAAGTTCAATGAGTGCATTGACGCAATTCGTCTCTTGCCAGGACATGATCGGTTTCTTCTCGGGCCAACGATTGAAACTATGAAGTCGGGCGCAAAGGGAGGCCTGATCGTTATCGTCATCATCAGTTCCCTTCGCAGCGATGCCATCATTATCTCCGAGGAGGCAATCGACAGTGTCGAACTTCCTGGACTATCATACTCGGAGACTGCCGAATGGCTAGAGAAGGACCTGGAAGGGAGACCCAAGAATCGCGCTGATCGGAAAATGCGGAACGAGCAATACTCCGATCTACTCCATTGGCTCTGGGTGTCTGGTGTGAAGCCCATCCTCGATCATACCGAATTCCAACCTTCGTCATCAGCAAGACTACCCAGAATCTCCTGGATAGGCTGCGGTATGGCTAGTCTTTTACCTTTCCACGCAGCTGGTGACCGCACGCCCGGCTCCAATGAGCATACCTTCTCGTACGCTATCTCCTCATATTCACTATCAATCAAAACAATGTTCCAGGCCAGAGCCAAGTCTAGAGAGGGCATCCCTGGTGTGCATCCGGCCTTGTTGATGGTTGGAATGCCCACCACCGACGGGCACGCATCGCTAGCTGGAGTCGAGGACGAAATACAAGAGATCGCAGAGGTGGTTGAGCCTTCATTTACCGTAAAGAGTCTACTACATCCACAGCCTTCGCTAGTGATGTCTGATCTTGCTTCCTATGACATGATCCACTTTGCATGTCACGCAGTGTCCGACACCAAAAGTCCCCTGAACGGTCATCTTTTACTGCAGGGGGACACTTCAAACAGATCTTCAAGCAAACAATGTAGTCCGCTAACAGTCGAGACGATCGTCAAAATGGATCTCAAACGTGCGCGCATAGCGTATCTCTCCGCATGTTCAACGGCGGAAAACAAAGGGAAGAAACTCTTAGACGAGGCTATCCATCTTGCCAGTGGTTTTCAGGTCGCTGGGTTTGCTCACGTTCTGGGTACAATGTGGCCGGCGGCTGACTCAATTAGCCGTGATGTTGCCGTTGGCTTATATGGAAACCTAGCTTCGCTCCTGTTGAAACCGGGCGTAGATATCGATTGCGCGGTTGCAGAAGCGTTTCATTTCGCGGTCAATGATGTTCGTACCGAATGGGAGGATCAACCTCTCTATTGGGCGCAGTTTGTTCATTTTGGGGGTTAACTGATGTTCTGGTGTATACCTGAAGTGTTTCATTGAATATTTCACAGGAACTACGAAACCCGTCATCCCAAGATCTTAAGTATGGGGAACCTCGGTAGTAGATGCCTCACCAATATCCTCATTCAAGGTAGCTTCCAGATAATTCTCAACTTCATCATCACTCTCATCACCTCGATCCGTGAAGAGGCTTTGCCAACAATTCCTTCTCTGCAATCTGGCCGCATCAACATCCCTTCTGCGAAACCATCTAAACTTGACTTCTCGATACTGCACAGCATAGACTGCCTCGCCAAGGCATGGAAGAGAGTTGGAACCATTATGGCTATCGGCCTGGATCGATGAAATATCTCGATGCCATAAGCTCCTGAAACCAACAACCAGGTATATCCGCTCACTTGAACGGATAAGCTGTTTCTCCATCCATTTCCTGGTATTTCTCCTTGTACACATCTCTTCGAACCAATCATTCGAATTCTTCAACATGCAGGAGCTGGAACGGTCTACTCTAATTGTACGATCGACATCAGGGTCACCGCGCCTTTTGATATCCACAATGGCGGAGAACGAGGTGTGACTGGCGACGGAAATTTTGATGGTATGCGAACGTTGCTGGACGTTGACAATAAACTGAGATTGACTGGGAGGAGCTGGCAGGGCGTGGAAATTCTGTCGCGGCCACAGTGCGTTGGTGGTTAAACTACCGAGGAAATTGTCTTCCACAGGAAACACCTGGTGTAGAAGACCGTATGGGATGGAAGAGGAGGTAGCGCAAGCTTCAGCCGAAGGTGTGTTCGAAACCGAATTCCTTGCTTCTTCCCTGAGTTGGTCCCTGGGGATCATGCTGATTAGCTCTTTCGTGTACGCCGCCGCTGCTGCCGCCGCATATGGCTGCCATTCCTTTGCCTTGAACTCGTCGGCGTAGTCGGAAATCCCGCGAATCACCAGACAAGGGAAATGTTCCAGGTCCATTAGCCCCGCGGCCTCCATTTCGAAACACAGAATGTCGTATTTGGCAGCTAGTTCGTCCCTAGTCTTTGCATGTTTTATGAGACGATTGCCGGAGGCTATGGTTCCATAGTGTACATGCGGAGCATCGGATGAACGTGTCGGGCGCTGCTTCACAGGCCGTTTGTCCACAGGCAAGTCTGGGTCGGACGAAGCATCAAGAAGCTGATCGTGATCGGGACCAGGGGACCGAAAATCGGGGCATTCAGCGATGATTTGATTGAGGATATCTCCTATTCGTCCCTGGCCGAGAAGGTATAATGATCGGATATTGCTTACCGCGGTGAGAAGACTCCATGGAGGATGATTCAATGAACCAGTCCGTAGGAAATTTCCATCCGCGATTGTCTTGCCGTAGTCGTAGGCGACGACTCCCCCCAGGGAGTTTTGAGGAATGCCAACCACAACATCTCCAAGACGGACGTCTGAGGATGATCGGGAGATAAGAGGGACACCACCTCCAATCCCTACCATAAGACCGAAGGAAAGACCGGGAAATGTGGTGCTCATCTGTTTTGCAACAACGGCAGCTGAGGTGGTTCCGTAGACGCCGGAGGGAAGACAAGCCATCACGACGTTATGTGATTGGATCTTCCCCAGCGCGTAACTGTTCGTGTCGGTTGGGGGTTGCGGTAGGCTAGGATGCCTTTCATCAAAAAGGATCCTTGCTGCGGCCATTTCGATTGGCAGGGCGCATATCCAGCCGATGCGGTAGCTGTCGTGGTTGAGAGCCATGTTGATAACGAGTAGCTGTCACTCGAGTGTGGTAAAGCGCAGGGGAAATGGCTTGGAGTGTGTCAACAAGGTCAGAAATGGGGGAGTCACAACGAAAAAAGGCCGCCGCCAGTGGATGCAATGGTCCTCCAATCACCAGAAAGACCAGGATATAGATCCTGATGTCTGAGCACCCCATATTCATGCCTTATTCGTCTAATCCCCGCAGTACAGCCTCGTCTCACAGGACTGAGAGGATAAAAGGATGACCCCCTCTTGAGCAGCGAGTCTGTTCATATAGTGCGCTATCCAAAGCTCCAGCGACGTTCCCAACCAGGAATAAACAGGAGACCAAAAATGGCTGAGCATCGTGATCAGCATTCGAGGATTAGAGCCAACCTCCTCACCAACGTTGCTGGTCGCGTCACCCCCTTGATTCGGGCCCGGGGATGGAAACTTGGCACTCTGTACGAAGTATACCCAGACGACACGAACCTCCTGGGTCTCAATTACAACCAGGGAGAGAGGATCTTTATCCGTCTGCGGAGTGCGATAAATGAATATCTACCGCTGCCTGAAATCATCGATATAATGCTGCACGAGTAGGTAGATTCTGCCCCAAATCGACTATCACCGTAATCCATGGACTGATCTGATCAACCAGACTCGCCCACGTCGAGCATCCCAACCATGGACCTGAATTTGTTATGCTGTGGGAGCAGCTGCGGTGGGAGTTTGGATATAATTCTGGCAATGGGAATCGTCAAGATCACTCGGGGATTCATATCTCCGACCAGCTCATCATTCCAGACAAAACGGATGCCAACACAACAGTCTGTCCCATTTGAACCTCCAACGAGTATATACGTAGTCTTGAAATTATCATTGAGACTCTCCTGATTCGGGGCTTCCAGACATAGATAATTTTATCCAAGGCCGTGTAATCAGTTATTGTCAGCATGATTTATCAGCGAGTGCAGCATATCAGCAATGCAACACCTTTTACCACGACGCATATCAATAATCTTTAGCTCAACTGATAGACAGAGTAGTACTACCGATCGAAAGGAAGGATGTACTCTGGTCCCTTTATTATCAGGCTATAGTACGAGTGTGAGGGAGAGTGTTATGACTTGCCTTTATATTATTATGATGGGTTGACGGGCGAAGGCGGGCGATTGCATGGTTCGGTACTGTGTGATTGGGGAAATGTGCGGGAGTGGAGTGAGTGATTTCTAAATTTTTGTTATTGTTGCATGTGGAATGTTTCTGATTAACAAGGCAGTCTTACAATTACTGGAAATTGTTCTACGTTCAGTCTACTATGGAATGATTGGAAGAGTATAGACAAAGTCTAATGCAATTAAGTTTCTATGCAACGAGACCAGCGCCCAAAAGCACCGGCAAATGCACGAAAAGCAGTACAAACAAACAGAACAGTCTTTCTCCGAGGTGCCACACGCCACCAAGTTTCTCGTACACGGTCAGTCCATGAGGATGTTTCTCGGGCCCGAAAGCCAAGTACTAGATCCAAGGTCCGACCACAAACGATGCCGTTGAGCAGCGTAGCCCAGTCCAAGCATAAGCGCCCCAAAAGGCAGCTTAGACGAGGGAACCGAGGGCAATGCAGGGGAGACCAAGGCCGATGAGGTCGTCGTCCTGTTCGGATTAGTCTCTGGTGATACAGATGGTGTTTGGAAATACTCACGGTGGTAGAGGGAGACGACTGGCAGCAAGCAATGTTCTGCTGGCACTGCTTGCTGATGATGTCCTGGACGGCGATCCCGATGATGGGGACTATAACAATTAACACTGTAAGTTGGTGTGATTGTTGGAAAAGACTTACTCTGGATAGGGAGCTTGGAGCACTCCTGGAAGAGACCCAGACCCTCGGAGCCAGATCCAGTACCAATGAGGTTGGACAGGGTACCAGCGAGGAGACCGCTGTCAACGTTGGTGCTGTCACCAGCGTAGGTGGCCTTGTTGCAGCAGGACAGCTGAGCCTGGTCACCGCACTTGTCTTCGGCCTGCTTGACAGTCATGTCGCCGGGGACGGGGAAGCGAACTTGGCTGTTGCCATCGTTGCCGTTACCATTGCCGGCACCGTTACCAGTGGAAGGAGAGCCACCGGGCATGGCCACAACGGTGGCAGCGAAAGCAAGAACAGCAGCGGTGATGGAGAACTTCATTGTGACGGTGGGTTTGGAATTGAACGAGAGTTGAAACTCGGAGTTGCTTTAAAAGAGCGCTTGTCTGGAAAGACTGGACTGTAAGAGAGAGAAAGAAGGCTAATCAACGAATGTGATTTGTGCTGATGAAAAGAATCGATTTCCGGGCGACTTCGAACACCCTTATATAGATTTTTGTGGAGGCCTCGAGCTCCTGGCCAAGACGCTGTAGGAAGAGTATCGTGCCTGCGGAGCCCATCCATCCGCACGCACACACACTCGACCTGCTTCCCCTTGTGGAATGCGAGATGCAAGGACATCCCTTCTCGTTCCTGGCCTCCCATGCCCCAATAGCTGTCATCCAAGCTCAACAGAGCCTGGCTTCCAACCAGTTGGCATGGATCGACCCCTGGTCCAAACTGTGCATGCCCGGCATCAATGTTGTTTCCGCATACCGTGAGATAGCATGACTGGGGTGCATTGCAGGCCAATCAAGGTCTCATTCCTCCTCGCTTTCCCTGCAGATCCTCATGCGTGCGCCTCGGGCGGCTAGCCTATTCGGTGGTTCAAACGCACGTATGTATGGCTGGGATTTGTTTCTACAGCCATACTCGGTTTCCCTCGTCTAAGTTTCTCCTCTTCGATGCGCCACAAAGTGCCCCGATCTCACTTCTTCCATATTGCTTCAACTTACTTGGCACACCTAACCACCTTGCTATGACCAGGCTCGTGCAATGTTGTCCCACTTCACAGCTCGTGCGGCATGCAAGTGACTGCAAGAACGCTCGTAAGCTCACAGAGCATATGCAATGGTATGTGCTCCTCTGCAAGGGACCCCTGACAGAAGATCGTTCCCTTCAGCCACCCCAGCTACAAAGTGAAAGTGGCAACGGAAATTTCCTCCCCCAGGACTCAGCGCCAGCAAGGGGTGTTCAATGAATCCCTGTTAATCTCCGAATTCCAATTTTGTTTCTAGGCGTCTTGCCTCTTCTGTAATTTGAGCAGCTGGGCTCTAGTCCCTTGGAACAAGCCTAGCTTCCTTAGTTCCTTGTTAGCTATTAGAGGGCCCTTGAAGATGGTATGGTCCGTTCGATGGGTCTGAAACAGGTGACGAGGACGGCATCCATCCTACGGTGAGGAGCATTGCTTCCACTATAGTCGGGAATCCAATCCGGGTCAACATGCATCGGAAGCATAGGTATGCGGCGTTCGAGGTGCTGCCTTCGGGGATATTGTGTGTTGTTTGGTGCGTAGATCATTGTGCTTGTGAGGTTGCTGGGGAACTTGCAGGAGGAAGCTCGGATGGTGCCTCGTTCCCGGGGCACGTGGCGGCCTTGCTGCCTGGAGCGGCTCGCCAGTTTGTTCCACGTGAAGGTGCATCTCCGAATTTGTGTTTGTGTAACGTGGAATATGAGGAGTCGAGATGAGTTGGAGCATTAGGTTGTATCTACACGATCTTCTAGATAGATAGCTCCCCCGTTCAATGCCATCAACATCTATAGTTTTTGCCTAGTTGAAAGGATTTGTGTAGTTAGTAGCAACTAAGTGTTACTATATACATCAACTACCACTAATATGGCATTCCCACTTGACTGGCAATACTATATATATTAGTCTGTGTATCTCAGGTTATATATATATATATATACTCTATACTAGTAGTCGATAGATATATCATCTTGTTGTCACTGTCTCGTAGGCCGATTATCCTGCTACTAGCACTAGTATCATCAATGATCAGCTTCCATTTCACTTCTTCTGCTAGCATCTATGTGTAGTTCATTTGAGCCTATCCCTCAGTAATCCGTGGTCCAGAGAGATACAATCATGTAAACCATCCACCACGTTCATTCCCTGAAGTAAACAACATCACCAACAACCACATCAATACAAACTTCCTCATACGGCAGAACTAATTTCCACCGAAACACCAAATCTACCAGGGCAACCGATGCTAAAATTTGTAATTATAGAAGTACATGCTCTACACTCCAACGCACCAAAAGTACCTTAGTGCAGCAACACCTCACCCTAAGCCATGCCCTCATGCATCGTACATGCTACATACATACATCCTAGTAATAACCTCGTGCCACTCTTCCCTGCAAGATCGCCTCAAAGCCACGCCATCATGCATTGCATCTCATATGCACAAGATACCAGCCCCCACATATACAAAACCCATTCGTTCCAACAAGATATTTGGAACTCCCGACTTACGCCGGGATAAATTCAGCAGTTACATTCATTCTTCTCAACAAAGCCTATTGTTGGGAAGTTAACCTTGTAGTAAAGCTAATTAGTTTTCCAAGGATACATAGATCCCGTTATTGGAAAAAGCCTTGCCTTTCGCATAATTAGCCCGTCTGTATCCCTTGATTTGATCCCGACCCGGCCACCTCCCTGCTCTCCTCCAATATAGGTTGTGATCAGCGCTTTGCTGGTCGGGCTTTTTCGGGTTATAGATACCTTTGCCTTAGGCATACAGAAGTCTCTACGTGGTGTGGCTTGGTAAATATTATGTTATATTCCACCTTAATGATGGTGCATAGGTGTTGATTTTCTCATTAGCCTCACCATAGAGATAATTTAATAAGTAACGCATTGTAGTATACCTGATGGAGGTTGTAGATACATCAGGGTCGGTGAGTGTAACTATTCTTCTGATTTCTGTGGATAACCTTTCAAAGTAGGTGTTACCAGAAAGGACTTCATCAAGCGGTCAAAGTAGCTCAACGACCAGTATCCACTTCGCAATGAATATCAACAGACTAGTTGGCACTTGATACTTTCGAACAAGTGACTGTAGTAGCGCCTTTCCCATGGTGTGTTACTCCGAGCCTACTATGTCTAGTATTCTCATATTACTGCAGGTAGTTGCCGTTTTCATGTCGAGGGTCTAACTGAAATACATCTAAGTAGTATAGATATTGCATCTTAGAATAAAGCCATTCAGTTACAGCACATCATCTGCTAATCGGCTAATGCCAATGCAATGGCTTTCCAGTTAGTGCTACATTGCTATCGGATAATCGAAGCAGAAGTACTAAGTAGTAGTAACATGAGTTCGGCATGATGCGAAAGACAAGAAATATATTTTGCTGGCACTTCCCGGTCTCCAAAACGCGATTGCTAAGAAATCACAGCAAACACGATTAGTGGCATTTCATTTCCAATCAACATATCTGATGGCTTTACTTAGGAAGTATCTCCAATGGACGATATGAGATCTTGACATATCAATAGATTGTCATTTCGAGTGACCAGTGAATCTACATCCATGTCATCCAATCACATCACCGAAATCACATGATCCAAAGCGGTGACTTTATACCACCTAACCAAAACTAGTTAGACTTATCTCACGTCGAGCAACTCGGATTAGTCATACCGGCAAATCCAACCTTCCGGATTCACATCATAAACCCATTGAATGATGCAGTGAAAGAACCCAAGCACCCAGAGGACCGTTAACCTCTGCGCTTCTGCATTCCAAACCCGCAAACACAGCTCAGCTAGCAAGAGGGAATAGCTAATCGCAGGAGATGTCCGCGAATCCTTCGACCGACGACAACCCATCCGCGGCGGGATCTCCGCCTCAGGTCCCGGAGACCCGAGAACCGCAGCAGCAGCAGCAGCACGAGGAGTCCCCGACCGCGGAGGAGACAACACCCGGCCCTGAAACCAAGGAGAGAGAAGAAACAGAACAACCAAGCGAAAGAGAACCAGGAGAGAAACCAGAGGCAGCAGCAGCTACAGAATCAGATTCCGCACCTCCGTTACCGGACGAGGTCCCCCCGCCGCTCCCCAACGAAGTACCCCCAGGGGATAATAAAGATGACGGATGGGAACCCGTCTGGGACCCCACCGCCCAAGCCTATTACTTCTACAATCGGTTCACGGGGGTCTCGCAATGGGAGAACCCGCGCGTACCGGGCGCGACAGCTAAGGCGGATGATAACACCGCCGCGGAGGATGCAGACGCCGCCGGCCCCTCTTCCTCTGCTGCTGCTGCTGCCACCACTGCTGTGGTAGGTGGCTATAACCCCGCCATTCACGGTGATTACGATCCTACGGCGCCTTATGCGCAGCAATACGAGCAGCACAACCAGGACCCCTCGGGGGGAGGGGCGCTGGACCCGGAAAAGGCATATGAGGCCGTGGGCGCGTTCAATCGGTTTACGGGGCGGTGGCAGGCGGAGTCGCAGAATACAGAGTACCACAATGATGAAAATAAGTCGCACCGACAGATGTATGCATTCTTTGATGTGGATGCGGCGGCGAATAGTCATGATGGGCGGAGTCTGCGGGCGGAACGGAGTGCGAAGAAACTGACTAAGAAGGAGTTGAAGATGTTCAAGGAGAAGAGGAGGGAGAAAAAGGAGGAAAAGAGACGGGCGTGGCTGAGGGATTGAAGCTGCTGCTGGTGCTGGTGCTCGATTGAGCGAGCGCATTCTTACTTTGCTTTCTACTTGAGATACCTATTCTGTTTGTATGCTTACCGAGGATGCATGGCGTTGATGTAGTTATGGGTGCATGATAGAGCGGAATGTATAGTATATCTGCATTTGCAAACGTAACCTAGTATTGCAGCTACTGTACAGAGTAACTATACTTTGTAGAAAAAGAGTCACGATAAGAGATGGATAAAGATGGTGAGATCCACATGGTCACCTGACCGGGCATCAAAGTTCTCCCCAGAATAATTACGTCTCGACCACAACAGACAGCAGCATAGACGCTTGACGATTCACGCATATCGCTGAAGGTAAGACTGGCTGTTTCTTTTTATTCTTTGCGTCGGCAGTTTGTTCTCTTGAGCTTGTTCCGAACTTTATGGAGGGGCAATTCATGTAGTGAGGGGCAATACTTTTTTTCTGCAGCAGAAAGATGGAGAAGAAGAGATCAGAACATCATTGCGAGGACAGCGCAAGCGGGAAATCTATTGCTACATATTAGTTTCTTTCGCAAGCCGCGACATGTTCTACTCGATCTGCCTGGCTCTTCTTTCATACGAAGAAAGACAGTGGCTGCACGATCTTAACTGATATCGCATACCCCTCCATCCAACCCACTTCAACACCACTAACTTCCAAACCTCCGCACCAGAGATCAGAGACCCAAAGCTAACACGAACCCAGAAACTAAAGACACAAGATACCCACACCTCCCAACTCCAATTCTCCATCTACTACTACTCAACTTCACAACCAACAAAATGGTCACCCTAACCCCCGACACAATCGACGACCTAATCTACTCCGCCCGCGCCGGCGAACTCCAAGATCTCCAAACCGACCTCACCACCCTCGCAACCCAAACCTCCACGACCCCGGCGCACATCATCGCCGCAGCAATCGACACCGCTCCGCAAGAAGAGGGTGGAAGTGGCTCGAGTCTGTTGCATTATCCTGCTGCGAATGGCAACCTGGGTACGAAATATATCCACTCCTGCTCCAGAAGCCTAATGACAATACAACTGATATGATTGGTTTTATGTATATATATAGAAATCCTCACCTACCTCCTCACCACCCTCACGACCCTCCCCAGCCGCGATGAGATCAACAAGATTCTCAACCACAGAAACTACTCCGGAAACACGCCCTTGCACTGGGCGGCGCTGAACACGCACCTCGAGTGCGTGAAGGCGCTTGTTGAGGCCGGCGCGGATGTCGGGGTGAAGAATGATGCGGGGCTGGATGCGGTGTTTTTGGCGGAGCGGGCGGATTGGAAGACTCAGGAGGAAGGAGCGGATGATAATGGGGATGAGGAGGTGGAGGTGGAGATTGGTGGTGAGGGTGAGCAGAAACAGGATGCTGGGGAGATGACGAGGGGGAGACAGGTTGTGGAGTGGTTGTTGAGTTCGGAGAAGGCGGCGGAGTCGTTGGAGACTGCGGCTAGTAAGGATGAGAAGAAGGATGGAGAGGGGGAGAAGATGGATACGACGAATTAATTGACCTCATTGACTGGCTAGTATATATAATGATGGGGTGGAGGAGGGTTTTATGGGAATGGTTTGGTATAGACTTTTGCATCGTACATAACGTCACATAAAAGTTCATTGCGCTCTTGGTCTTTCGTGGTCTGGTCTACTCTAATTTACAAGAATTGTATAGAATAAGTGGTTTGAGGTTTAGTCTCGTCGGGCCTTAGACGATGACGAGGAGCTGGATCGTGAAGACGATGACCCCTTCACTGCGAGAGAATTCCCCCCAATCTCCCGCACCTTCATATCCAACCCCACGCGGAACTGTCGATCCCGCCAGGTCACCGTCACGCCGCCATAGACTGCCCATAGCCAGATCGGAAACGCCAGCATCTCCCGGCCCAGCCAGGCCGTGAACCACGCCCGGAAGGGTCGGCGCGTCACGCCTCGGGGCGGCCGCGCGAACGACGGCGTGTCTTCGTCCAGCTCCACCGTCTTCCCGCTGTGCAGCATGATGTACACGGTCCAGTCGATAAGGATCCATGTCACCATGCTCAGGCAGAAGAAGCCCCAGAATGCGGTCCAGGTGGACAGTGCCTCTGCAATGGCATAGCCTTGGTCTCCGAGGTATTGCGCCAGAGCTGTCGTGACGCCCCATGCTCCGTAGCAAGAGCACAGAATCGACTCGGTGCCTGGCTCGACCAGCGTTGCAAGCACGACGGTGAACTTGCGCACACGCAGCCATCGCACTCGGCGTGCGACGTATGCCTGCACGCTCATGTTGGCGACTGGCTGGAAGGCCAGATCACCAAACACAAGGGCGTGTTTGCCCCAGCGTTCTCCTTGCTCTTTCTCCCCGCGGACTTGTTTTCTCCAAAGCAGATCTCCGATCAGGTGGTCTTCACAGATGTTGTCCGAGAAGTAGTCGATACCCGCGTTCCGGCGATGGGGGTCTGACGGAGACGGCGCAGTGAGGTAGTCAAGATGCGAGCGGCGGAACATGTTCGACTTGCCCACAATGCATGGCGCGATCAGGACGGTGTTGATCGCAGTGTACATTTTCGCATGCGAGGACGACAGGAACAGCTCTTCCAAGCGGCCGCCACCGGTCGCCAGCATACCAGCCCCGTGGTCTATGACCATGGCGGTGTCACTGCTGTCGCGATTGGCGTTCCGGTTTGTGTGAGCCTCCAACAGCGCTTCCTGCTCTTCCCGGAGACCAGCGGTTCCTGTCATGTCGACTGCAACCGGCAAGTGGTGCACGAACTTGTACCTCTTCGTCGAATCGGCACCCGTTCCGCATAGCTTGTCCACCATGCGCCCGCAGACGCCTCTGCCGACCCACGCGTTGCAATCGATAATCCAGACAATATCGCCTTTGGCTTCACGGTAGGCACGACTCATGTTCCGAATCTTGGGGTTGGGCCCCAGATCGTAGGCGGGGACGTGGCCGGGCTGGAGTAACGGGTCATCGTCTTCAACGTATAGTCGCACATCGAACTGCGAGAAGTCCGACACCAATTTCTGGAGGATAGGGTAGGCAGGATCACTGTGGGAGGACACGCAGAAGCACACGGTCAGCTTATCGCGAGGGTAGTCCTGTCGGAAAGTCGAAGCCAGGCACTCGTAGAGGTGTGGTTCAAGACCCTTCACCGGTCGGATCGCGGTGACGTGGGGGGCGTTCGAAGCCGATGCGGATGAAGATTTCCGGGGTTTCCTCAAGTAGAAACGCCATCTGAAGGATAACGGAGGTGGAAAGTCAGCAAAGATGCCAAGCCTGATCCAGATGGGGTGAAGAGAAAAGAAAAAGGTAGAAAGTTACAGCTGAAGGTATCCCAGCATGCAGACAGCCACCACGACCGTATACCAGATCAATCCCACCCAACCGGCCGCGACAGCCCACTGCCAACCGCCATGGTAGATGGCTGGTTCAGCATCGGGGGGTTGCGAACGCGACTGAGGCTCTAACATAGGCGGACACAGCGAGAGGCGGAGATCTGACAGAAGGCAGAACAGGACGATGAGGACATTCTAGGGAAAGACGCAGACAGGCAGCAGGCAGTCAGACGAAGTGGAGGGAACGAGAGAAATGCGGTCGGGGCCACGATTCGTATTCGTTGTTTTTTTTTTTTCTTTTCTGGACTGGGGTGCGACGGCCACGCAAACCGTCAAGCTGCAGCAGAAACAGGCCGTAGACAAGCAATGAACCGTCGAGCCGAAGGACACTAGTGTTCCAGTCGGATCCAGCGGATGGTTGGCTCGGGCGCTGTGGTGGGTTTCACCCGCGAGGCTTTGCACTGTTAATATTAGTTGGTTTAAAGAGGCCGGCGGATGCTCGGATGCAGCCGCACTGCCTCCGCCGGCCTCAGGCACAGTTCCACTCGAAACATTCAACACCGTGCATGGGTTCCGTGCTTTACGCGTATAACCCATTTTCGTTGAAGCTGTCGGAAGAGTTCTCGACCGGTTATACGGTCAGTAAGTAAGTAAGTAAAAGTGATAAAGAATAATTGTCCCAAGATTTTGTCCTATTATACAAGATGCAAATCCATCCTTCGCCAAATCCCACCCAATTCCGACTCCGCATATGCAATAACCATCAGCTCGTCGGTGACCCCCAAAGAATAAAATTACAAAACCAGCCAAACCGACACATGAGTATGGTCTGTTACGTTTTTTTCTTCTTCCGGATCAAGTTGGCGTGGAGAACGTTGACAGCCGGCGATGGGTCCGACCCAGAAGATGCCGGAGGAGCCGCCGTTGATGCTCCAGCATTACCACCCTCCTCCCCTGTCTTGCTGTTCTGCTCAACTTCTGCATCGGCCTTCTTGCGCTTGCGAACAAGTCCGGTGGTCATGAGCGTACTAGCCTCCACAGGCTTTTGGGAGGATTCATCCTTCGTGTTTCGTCCCACCACCAGCTGTCCAACCCAGAGTTGATCTGCGAGGGAGGCTACCTTTTCGCCCCATGCCTTTGTGCTGGCAATTGAGGCCTCTTCACTGTCAAAATCCTGTTCAAGCAGGAAGTTGATCGCCGTTTTGTAGTCTGCTTCGCTCAGAACAGCATGTCCTCGTCCTGCCTCGGGCCAGTAAAAGGCATCAGCATCCGCGGGTTGCGGGGGCTGAGTTATGGCCTCAGATGGTATAGCAGCTGGCTGAGGTGCTGAAGTAGAAGTAGATTCACCCGTAGGTTCTGATGACAGTTGCTTGTCATGGTCTGTTGTCGTAGGATGTTCTGGAGCGGATTCAGCATCACTAGCCGGCTTTGTATTTGTCACACTTTCGCCAGACATCACCTGGGACACATGGTCCGTCAGGCTCTTGGAGTCGCCAAGGACAGACCGAGAACTAGTCATTTGTACCGAGTTCACAAGTCCAGGAGGATTGATAACAAGCCACAAGAACCCAACGAGTCTTCCAGCTGAGCATTCTTGTCGGAACGACATCATCTCCCAGAATTGGTCCAGAGATCTGACACTCCGCCATTGACCCGCATTCTCTGGGGATGTCCCGTCCGCTTCCTGCTTCGGAAGCTCATCATCCAAGTCCACCAAGAAGCGAGTTTTGGGGTCATCCGGAAACCGGGGGACCAAGCAACGCGGGGGCGCCTTGGGATTGTCACACAATTGGTGCACAGGATAGCTGGTGAGCCATCTTGGACGGTCTTTGTCGTCCAATCTGGCCAAAGGAGGAAAGAAGCCCCTGGTTTCGAACCGATCACATCCCGGGACGATCAGGAAAGCGGTTGCTGAGCTTTTGGCCGACTCTGTCTGATGGTCCTGGGCCCCTTTATCATGCGAACCGGACTCTGGCTCATACTCGCGCAAGATGGGGTCGACGACGCGGCACCACCATTTGATCAGGCCGCGGTCATCTAGGACATGCTTCTGAGGATTGTCAATGCTACCGGGAAACAGGTATTGGTTCTGCGCCCGGGCAAAAAGGGAGACTAGCAATCTGACACCCGGTCTTTGATGGGCTTTGACCAAAAAGGAGAGAAAGGTCTGAGAGATGCGCCGCAAAATGGAAACCTTGGGCGCATTGGGCAGGAGATGAAGGTAGCCGGTGGAGTCGGCCTTGGAAACGAAGATGGTGGTCAGGTGCGCAGTGCTGTACACCAGCACCTCCATGCCAAAGACAATCACCTCCGCGCCATCTTTCTCCTCTAAATTGACCGAGGCCGACAGAAAGTGGTTTTCGCAAAAGGTAGGTTCCGGTGTCTCCCCGGGAGGTGCGGCAAAGAGCGCGGTTGAAGGGGAGGGAGTCGAGGAGACATGGCGAATGGTGAGCTGGACGGGGGCCGGCAGCCCCTCGGCCAGCAGCTCGCCCAATTCTACATCAACCTGAGACATCGCGGATGGTGGCTTCCGCTGATGAAGGCCTGTGGAATTGTCCAGCGAGCGCCTGTGGCGTTCTCCAAGTGCTTTTTTTTCCCTCCTTGTCTTTTCCCCCTCAGACGCGTTCCATTTCACGGGCGATCACGTGCCGGCAAGCTGACGGCCTTTGCAATCCCCGCGTCTGTCAACTGTTGTTTACACTGAATTCACTTGATCAATTGGATAGTCTCATAACATATCAAGGCATTATGAGTATTTCATTCTCCGAGTTTTGATGAATTGTCTGTCGTTGCTAAATCAAGCGTATTCACTTCTAGTGCAGCTCCCGGATTAGCATATTGCCTCTACCAAGGTTCCGCACACTATCTATACTAACTTGAAAGCACCCACCATCTACCACTGGCTTACAGAGAGAAAACAGAGAGAATATGAAAGACATTCCAATATATACTTCACAGCCACTCCTGAACTAAGGCGTCTGGGTTTGACGCACGCCCGAGAGAGTTTTCCAACAATCTCAGCAGGTTCTTTTTGCTTGATCCTGGCTCCAGTATAATCTGCCGATACTCACTCCATGTCTGCTTATTCCACGGATCCTTGGCGAACCTTGTCAGATACAGATCCCGGGCCGATGTGGCGCAACTGGGTTGTAAGTATTCGTATCATGTCAAGTCATCCGAAGCGTGCTACCACAAATACGAGTAGTACCCAGCATCATATCCAGCAGTGAGATGACTGACTGTCGCAAACTCATATCCATTTCTACATGTGGAATAGTCCATCCCTAGTACCTCCTCCAAGAGACCGTACCAGAGCTTTTGGATGTTCAGTTCCGAACTTGAATTTGAACTGTAGATATGCAGGTCAAACATTGATATCGCTCTGAAGCCTGTTAGAGATTGGGTTTGTATACGTATCGAAGCTGGGACCGTACAGCAGACGACCATACCACAGAGGTTGGCCCACATATCGGCCACGAACAAGGTCATCCACGAGCTGGTCAGGAATCTGTGCCAAGGGATCAGCCTCCCCGGGATGTTGAGTCCGCCATTGCAACAATTCTTCCTCGTTTAACTGGGTATAATAGAGGCTCAATAGCTTCAAGACATCTCTCCCCCCACACCAGTTTTCCAGAGTCATACTAGGTATCTAAACCAAAGTCGCGAGGGCCTTGTGAACCATGGAAGCGTGCATAATGTCCTCGGGATAGTAGGTTGTGGATAGCGTGGCCCATCATTACGAAGATTAGCCAGAACATCTTCCGTTTCAACAGCATGGGCAAGAATGACTAACCATGAAACAGTGTGACCAATCTCCCATGTTGAAGAAGATGGGTGTCAGAAATTGTTGGAAACGCGCACATCAATACCACTGCAGGATATTGCCTCCTTCCATCCGGCTTGAAGCAGCCCTAAAAGAGAGTATGAGGAAACGAATATCACCATAGGAAGCAATGGACTCAACTCACGCTCTGCAAAATGACACACTGCTCCCCTCTCCCCTAACTCCGCCTCTAACCACAACCTCTCTTCCTCTGTCCTCTCTCGGATGAATCCCATCCACGCACCCCCACAAATGTGTCTTGTGTCTCCTTGTCCGGCGCGCCATATTGTAGCAAGTATAGCAGCTATAGATTAGAGTTTATGGCGTTGTCGAGAGCCGCGAGGGGGCGGATTACGGAGTCGTAGGTGGCTGTTGCCGGGGTCGTGGTGGATAGAATGTGCGTGCGGAGTGCTGTGTATTGGGGTATGAGACATTGCATGATTGGAAGCATTTGGGGGGCAGGGGGGATGGATTGGAGGGGTGGTGGTGGGCTTAGCATGGTGATGATGGTGTTCTATGTAGTGGGTGAGCTGATGGAGGAGGTAAGACTAGGGGTGTTTCCGAGGCATAAGTAGTTGTGTCTACACTCGGATAATGGTAGTATTGGACTATATGGGGCTTGGATGTAGATGTAGATATGACCTGATGGGGCATGGCATGGAGATGTGGTTGGGCACAGTCACTGGTTGAATATAATAAGTAGTTCTCTTATGTCTACCTAGAAGCTTGACTGGTTGTCTAATACTGGGCTACTAGTTGATCCTATTTATTTAACTGAAGTGACTGCATTGGCCTACAGAAAAAAGCGGCCCTATTGACCACTCAGGAAGCTTGTGATCCACCAGCATCAGGGGTTGATGGTCACACGTTCATAGCCCTTATCTGTACCTGGTTTCTAGTAGGTACTTACCAACTGCTCGATAAATGATATCATCGTTTCTCAGTCCAAAACTGAACCTCAACTTAACAACATATTTACTATACCAATTAACACACCGCTTCGATGATTAGAAATACTCCACCACAGCATCCAAATCATCCGCATTCAACAACGCAACTCCCTCCTCCAACAATGTCCTCCAGACAAAATTCCTCGTCCGCACCGGATAATACGGCGTACCCCAATACCTAGCGCCAATGCCCCTCTCCTCCGCCGTCTGAATCTGCTCCCTCAGCACCTCAATCTGCTCATCGCTAAGCTTCTCACCCTTGACGGGCCCCACAGCCGAAGCAAAGTTCGTCGATGCAATGGGCGAAATGAGACCCGTGATATCAGCGTATTCGGGCTCAGCTAGTGCCTCAAGTGGTGCATCGTAGAAGTAGTCCCGGTCTGCGACGGGACCGACCATGTCGAGCGGGGTGTTGCCGGTGCCGATGACGGTGACGGGGCCGGTAGTGAGAGTTTTATTGTCCTTGAGGGTGGTGAGATAGCCTTGGTCGCGGAGGGGTTGGAGAGCGGAGACCACGGCTTTAAGGGTCTCCGGGCCGGAGGTTTTGAGGTCAATGAAGAAGTAGAGGGTTTGGGTGGTGGAGGTGTCAAAGACGCCGCTGTAGGTGGGGTTAATTGCATTTGCTTCTGCATGGGGGGTGTAAGGTGTAATGATGGGTGACTTACTTGTTGGTTGGGGATGTTACAAATGGGCTACTGGGATTCTGGAGTTTAAGCACGTCCAGAATTGGGTTGATGTAGAGAGATTCCAGGGTCCGATCCTTTGTCAGGGAGGATTCGTCATGGCCGACCTGTACTGCCTTGTTAGAGTCGGATCGTGGACTGTGGGGATGTGAGTGTGAGACTGACGTAGAGAGTGTCATTATACAGCCATACATCGGCTTCTGTCGAGATACACCCTTTGGATAGGCCTTTGGTAGAAGAGGCTGATTAGCTAGCTGTGCTTGTCGCCATGCTAAAGTACAGTGCTGTGCCTACCGGTGTAGAAAGGTATGTCTCTCCAATAGTCACTGTCGTGGAGGTTAGTACATAGTCACAATATGGGGGTATGAGGCTACTACTAGAGCAATGGACTTACTTATGCGAGTGAACTGGGATCTGATAGAGTAATAAGCTTCAGTTCGAAACTCTATGAAGGAAGTATCATGATTGAAGCAGGAAAAGCATTTCTTCTCCATCTGAGATCCTACAATTAAGTGGAGTACTCACGGGCATTATACCCCGGGTAAAATCCGTCGGATAGCCATAATCATTGCTGCCATGCGTGTTCTTCAATACGCTTTGGAGCTCCGTGGATCCTCCGGCGGCCAGTCTCGGATCGCTGAGCAGGAACGCGGACGCCGCGACAGCAAGCGATCGGGTGTGTACCATGGCCTAGGGAGGAGTGTGGAAAGTATAACAAGTTAATGGATCCTGGCAATAGTAATAGTCGTTATTCAAGATAGAAATAATCAAAGAATAAGAATGATTGATTTCTAATATGTCGTCGGACTCAGCCTCTTTGTTGGGGAGGAGAGACAAATAAAGGGAGGTCAGCCAATCGCGGCCTCACGTGGCGGCCAGCAACCCCTATGGACAAGCAGATGGAAAACACGAGCAACCGACAAATCCATGATGGAGTGAATTGGTAGCATCTAATCTCTAGATAAAGGAACATATGCATTTTCATCTATCTAAATCTCAAGATAATGGTAGGTTGGTTGATAGGTGTCAGAGGTGGTGGTAGTGGTCAGAGACCACATAGGCAAAGATGACAGGGGATCAGGTGATGCCTGGCTATATTGAATGTCTCAAGATCTAATTTCGACTTGGCCATTTGCTTGACACTAGAGCAACATACATACAGAGCGAAAGGACAAATGAACATCAACCTAACGCTAGCCTTCTAAAGTAAACTAATCTGCACACAAACCAGCCCATCTGCGAGACGCCGGGGAGGTATCATTCAAACATAAGAATCATTATAGAAAAGCTAACACAATAAATGACACGGATCCATAGCCCAACAACCCAAGCTCAGACCTCCCGAATCGATGGTGGGCGAGAGCTGGTTTGAGACTCCTGTGTGCTGCTCCGCCGGAAGCTCAAGTTCCCAATGCGTTGGACCAGATTGCTTCCTACGGCGTCCACAGCTCCCTTGGGAGCAAGTAATGTGGGCCCTTGCGCTGCCGCCTCCTGGACCTTGAACAGCTTGATACTAGTTCCGTTCCAAACACCAACCGTGCCCGGCGTGGCGCCCGAGGCAGTGCCAACCACCATTTCGCTCGAGAAAATGAATCCCCAGAGCAGAGATTCGTACCAGCCCATAGAAAGGGCGGACCACTCAAATGAATGAACACGGACCGGCGATGGCTCTGAAACAATGGTATGAATTGCGGGATCTTCCAAGAACGAGGGCAGGTTGCTAATCAAGGTTCGAGCTTCAGGGCTTGAAGCGGATCGGAACGCAGCCTCAGGAACATGAGGAGCAATGGCGGAGACAATCGTGAGAATGGTATGGAGTGGCAATTCAGCCAACCAGGATTCGAGCTAAAAGAAATACACTGTTAGTGGTGTAACGCATGGAAATAAGGACAGTCACCTACCCATGCTGTAGTCGGCGTGAACCCGCTAGAAGATGTTGGGAACGCCGCCGAAAGACTACTCTGACTAGTCATGCTGTTTTGCCGCGAGAACGACGGCTGTCCAGCAGGCATCTTGCCTCGTGCTTTCTCAGACATGCCGCGCAGCTGAAGGGGAACGCTTTCTTCAATGACAGAGGAAATTGAAGGTCGACGAGAAGTCTGTACTGATGGCGAATCCTGCGCCGGTGTGTCCCGTCCCTCTCCTTCATCATCCGAATCCTCATCTCCACCAATGGAAAAAGGACTATTTTCTTCTGGTATGCGACCCAATGGAGAACGCGTGTCTGAAGATACCGGATGTTCTTCCTCTGAGGCGGAAAGAACCGGACTGCCCACGAATTCATGCGAACCGCTTGAAGACTTTCTTCGCTCATTCTGGCGTTCTATCTCTTGTTGCCCGCTCTCAAGAGTGAATTCTCGCACTGCCTCAAAACGCTTTCTATACTTTAGAATAGCATATACGAGGAATGGGTTTTCTGCAACAAGTTAGCACGTTATCTGAAGATTTGCAATAAACGACCTACTGGTAAACTGATGTTCAAGAATTGAGTTGATAGACTCGAGGACCGAGGAAAGAAGGGTGTGATTCGTCTCGTTAGCCAGTAGAAAGCTGGGCGCTGACATGGATGAGAAGAGCTGCAGCAACTTCGAGCACGAGCTCGGAGAAAGATGTTCAACATGCGGGGCAATATTATTGATGATAGCCAAAAGCGCAGGGTATACTGTGTTCAGCTTTCCTTTGCTGGCAGTGATCAAAGTGTGAATGGACTATACCACTGTCAGTTATTGTGACTAGTCTTCGAACTCTGAGCGACAAACCATGATCAAAAAATCAGCATAAGATCCCCGGAACGCAGGGATACGGATACTCTGAGGAAGAGTCTCCTGAGCCTCGAACTTGGTATTCAAGCTCTGCCCAAAATTGGGCTCCACGCTCATCGTCTGCATGATGAAGATGCACATCCTGACGACGCCCTGCTTAGAAGGGTCTGATTTATACTCGATAGCATAAAATATACAGAGGATAACAAAGTCGTGCGAGCGGTTCGAGTCGATGATGAAGGACCGGAATCGCTTGTTGCATTGCAATGCCTCCCAGAACAGAACGAGCATCTCGGGTGCCCATTTGACCGATCTCTGGCTACCTGGAAGATAGGAGTTGGTCGCTTGCATCTTTTGGAGAGGGGGTTAGCAGAGTGATTTGGAAAATCGACGGCAAACTTACCGGCTGATTCAAGATTCGAGTCATGCCATCAGTAAGGAACTGGAAGTCTTGCGGCCGATGTAATCTTCCGAAGTAGTGTCGATAATAGTTCTTCGGCGGTGCTCCGCGACCATCTTCCGGCACTGGATATAGAAGAAGTACAAGGAGAAACTGCAGACAATAGATGACCAATATCTGCTTGGGGTCTTTCCAAACGACATGATCATACGGCACCCTCCATGAAGCAGGGTTGTACTTGATAGCCTGTCGTAGATTTGTCAGTATTTCCCCACACCCTGCTACCTGCAATGCTCCCAAAACGTACAGTGTTCAGTAGTGAGCATAGTAGAGTTAGTACCACCTGCTTGTCCGAACAAGTCGTCATGTACGTGATAGCCTTGACGCCTTGCACAGGAAGTAGACCTTCGATAGTCAGCAAGTAGTTCCCAAAAAAGGGAAGACAATCTACTCACTAGACGGCATGTACATTGCTTTTCCGGTCAAAGTAAGCAATAACCGTAAGATTTCGCAGCGGTTGTTCTCTAGCTCTTTTGCAGAACCCATTGACGTATTGCAACCCACCCCACTCTGCCAGATCGAGTACGACACCTTGCTCTTCGCGGTAGGCAACGGCGGAATTGTAAAGTTAGTGTAGAAAAGGAGCTCCAGCAGGTTGTCAATCAGTTCCTCAGCTAAAGGTTTCGCATCTTCAAAACCCGTGGCTCGCGGGGCTGTCTGATCTAAGTCCTCCGCCTGTGCTTCATCAAACAGTACCTCCGCAGCAACTTGCGCCTCTCTGGTTCTCTTCTTGCGACGAGTCCAGAAAAACTTCTCCTCCCATTCCTCTAGGTGTTCAGCCTCGTAAACAAAGGGGAGGAGGCGGGTGAGGATGCGGACACAGTTGAGTGCATCGCGGTCGGGGGCGAGTTCGGGGTCAGGAAATGATGGATGGTTTTTTAAAACGGTGAGACGCGAGGTGACTGAGAGCAAGAGGGTTTCAAAGTTAGATAAGGCATGATCGCGAATTCGTCGTATATCGGCAGGTGTGAATAGGCTGAAGACGTCCTCTGAGGACTCTGGGAGCTCCCAGAACTACACGAATCGGTCAGTAATCCACTTAGGCGTCACACAAAAGCTGGAGCAGAAAAAAGGGAGGCGAACCCTGGCCCAATAGGGATCATCCGCAGGAATGTCCTTCTCCTCTGAAAGACGGAAGATGCCCTGCTTGAAGACGAGCTTGGACTCCGAAGCTCCCATCGTGAAGTCTCCAGCGAAGATCACGGAACTATTGACCTCATGCAGTAAATCAGCGCTAGGATCTCAGGAAGAATGTCCGTTATGAGGGTAATCCTCGGGGGTGATTTGCTTGGGACGTAAGCCCAATAGTTTCCGGCCGCGTGTGAATGAATGAACTTGTGGCATGTTGGCGGTCTTGGGGTCAATGCCTTGGAAGCGGGAACTAGGCCCGCGGAGAACCGGAGATCGACTGGGGAACGAACCTCAGCTGAACCTACACACCGTCTCCTATTGAAAGTACGCGGCGATCAAGTCGCAGTCTCGGAGATTATTCGAGAATTATTCTTAGGAATCGGACCCTCTCTAAAAGTACATCATGCAACATGCAGCATCATAACAAAATACGGCCTAAAGGTAGTTCCGAAGCACCCCGCTAGAAAACACGAGTTTACATGAATCGTCTCTTATTCTTCCCTGAGACCCAAAACAAGACCAATAATGTGGTCCAAATCAGAGGCTACCGTTGCTTGCTGACAGACGCCGGCTCCGCTCATACAGCCACTTGTTGCTCAAACCCAGGCTCACACGCTTGCCACCTACTGGTGAAGGAGTTGCGGGCGCAATGCTGGACATGCCGGAGAATGTCGACATAGTCGACTCCCTGAACGTGGATGTAGAGTCTTTGAACGTAGACTCCTTAAAGGAAGATTCTTTGAAGGGCGAGAAGGATGAGCTGCGCCCGAGCGGAGACGAAGATCCGAAGCTCGGCCTCCGCCCGCTCTCTTTGCTCCCATTCGTGACCACTTTGTGCAATAACGGGCTCGGAGAAGGCGAAAATGAAGGTCCTGACGATAGCCTGTGCCCGGAAGCGCCAGCACTTGCTGACAAGGGCGAACCGGATCTGCTGGCTGGGCTGGCGTTCCGAGACGCAGAAAGTCGGTACCTGGGCGGAGTAACGTACGTCGTGCCCGGGGTCAGTGACTGTGTGGCGGAGGGATCCAGTCCCAAAAGCGAGCGTTGTGTAGGGGTCAATGGAATATCGGAGAAATTGTCTTTCGGACGAAAGAGAGGGTACAATGCAATCAGGATGTTCAGAGCAAAGATGACTCGTAGGACTAGCAATGAAAGATCGGGATATGTAGAGATCGGACTGATGTTCTGAAGCCAAAGCGAACTGTTGCGACGCTGGTTAGAAGGCCCCCTGGAACCACGCACTTGATGTGTCTGCTAGCAGCACTCACTATGACTTGACGGTATCTCCAAACACCCAGGTCGCGAACAAAGCGGCCGTGTTCCACACAAGCTTATTTATATTGCGATCTCCGAATGTACCAGCATTCTGTCGACGAACGACCTCGTTCAGATGAGGATGACGCCACTTTCCAGGCGTCTGAGAGCCATCGGGTGTCGCTGCAGGTGCAGATGCAGCTTTCGGGGTAGAAGGAGGGGCGGGGGACGCCATTGGTTTATATTGAAGGCGGGGGAGAGTAAACGCTTGGGTGGAAATAGCACTACATGGTCTTAGTATGGCATCTTGTCACGACGATGGGCAAAGGGGGGGAAGGGTATGATGACTTACCTGAAATAGGAAAATTGCTGTTGGACTTACCTGTAGTTGAATGAAATGCGAAATGAAGATACGCGTGCCCTACCACATCGGTGACTATGGGATCTCTGATGACGGATTACAAAGAGGGCCCCGACAGGATCATGGTCGCAGGGGAGGGGCAGGCAGGAGTCGGGGTTGAGTGAATGTGAATGGGGCAGCGACTGATTGTTTTGATGATAAGTGCGCCGGCAAGGGTCACTGGCAACCACAAGCGCCTTTGGCGCGAAGTTTTCAGCCAACCCAAATCGGGAGCTTTCAGCGGCACTAGTCAGCTTAGGCGCCGCGGCTCCCCACATCTGGCATCATAGCCATTCTTCCATAAGCCATTAGCCTCAGCCCCGGCTCAGCCCCCTCACGTCACCCATTCTTCCATCGATCTCACCCCGTTCATTAAAGAAGCAGCATTTCTTTCTTTCAATTCGCGTATGGATGCTTGATACGCCACACTAGATACACTCGCTCTCTCCATAATGGACTCCAATCCGTCCATCGTGGCCAAGCTTGATGCCTTCGTGGCAGAGCTCCTGGCCGACTGGAACATCTACACTACTCTGATCGCCGGCGGCATTGTCGCTTTCCTCGTCTTCTCCTTCGTCACCTCGAAAGATTCCGATATTCACCCTTTTCTACTCGCTCGCCAATCGACCGCTTTTCCCGTGCGACAGCCCGGTGAAACTGCTCAATACCGCAGTCTAGAGACTCCTCACGGTTTCCCCCTCCGATCCGGACTCAACGTCAAGGACCCCGGCGCTCCGAGATGGACAAGCGGTCGCAAGGGTGATCTGCGCGATGTTTGGAAGGCCGCCGTGCGAGGTGCAGTGGGAGAGGATGGCAAGGGCTCTGGTAAACAAGGAAAGATCTATACTGTGCTCGGCAGAAAAGCAATCGAACATTCGTTAGAGCAAGTTACCCAAGAAATCAATGTCATCGGAAGTCGTTTGCAGTCCTCCAAGGTGAACACGGTCGCCATCTGTCTGACAGACTCGGTTGAGCTTCTGGCTGCTATCTTCGGTTCGAGCATCCTTCATTTGTCCGATGATTCCATTCGTTGCTGACGAGATCTCTAGCGGGCGCTTTCTACGGACTCAAGACAATTATCATCCCCCATAACTTGGAGGCCGAGTCTCTATCGACTCTTCTGAAGGAGTCCGAAGCGGAGGCTCTTATCGCGGAAGCCGGCGCTCTTGATCTGTCTCTCGTCGCCAAGGGTAATGATCAGCTCTCGCAGGTCATCTGGGTCGCGAAACTCGGAAGCAGGCACATGGACTGGAACGATGTCCCCGAAGATGTCAAGGGCACTCTGGAGGTGAATGTTTGGCACGAGCTGGTGGAAGAAAAGAAGGACCTTGCCGGTCTTGAAGTTCCCAGCTGGGACCCCAGTTCTCCTGCGCCTTCGCTCACCACTGTCTGGCCATCCAAGTCCTCCGCAGGCGAGTTCATCGAATATCAATCAGAAGTAGGCAATCTCTGATAACACATCCGGCTCAGTCGTGCGCTAACATAGATTAGAACTTGGTTGCGGGTATTGCTGGAATCATGTTCTCCCTCCCTCGTCCTCAGCGGTTGAGCTCCAACGATCTCGTTCTCTCGATTGATTCCCTTTCGCGGTCATACCCTCTGTGTCAGATCATGGCTGCACTGTACTCGAATGCGTCTGTTGCCCTCAACTCGGTTGCTGGAGAGAGCGTCGACTTCGCTCTCGCCACTGTTGGATTGTCTCCGACAGTCATCATTGCTTCTTCGCGCACCATGTCTGAATATCACAGCAAATTCATGAAGCCGCACTCTGGGTTTATTTCTCTCTTTTCTCGCTGGATCCAGGTACGAAGCCTGGATTCTGGTTACATGCCCTCGCATGGTGTGCTGAACCAGGTGGCCAACGTCGGGCCGACCGCTGAACTCTCGCTCGATAAGCTGCGTCTGTTGTGCATTTCGCACCGTGTTGATGCCGATCGTGAGGCTCAGCTGGACTATGAGCAACTCGCAGACTTGCGTATCCTCACTGGAGCACGCGTGGTGTACGCCCTGACCGGTCCTGGAGTTGCTGGTGCTGTCTTCCAAACCAATGTTTTCGACTATCGCCGCTTCCAAGGCTCGAGCCACTTTGGTGCACCTCTGAGCAGTGTCGAAGTTGTGCTGACTGGTGTGTCGGGTGATGAGGCAAACGAGCAGGGCCAGGTAAGTCAGCCGACAATCAGACATCTTTTTCATCCGCTAATCATTTCCTTAGATTACCGTATCCGGTCCTTCTGTCATCTCTGGCAAGACCACTCTGGAAGGACGTGCTCGCATTCGCGATGATAACACCTTTGAGCTCCTTCCCTAGTCCACTAGTCGAGCACATAATGAGCGTTTGAGCATATATTCCGGGTTCTTCTTTCCTATTGTCAACCCTTTCAACCTTAAACCATCCCATCAGTAAACCATCTCATCACTGCATCATAACAATTGAACCTTAGCAAGCACAGCTTAGTTTGTCTCAGAAAGAATGAAAGGAAATGGCATCTATCTTCAGATACAGATACAGCTCCGAACGATCCAAAATGGTAATATACAGTAAAGATAGAATCAGCTGAAATGGCAAAATGTAGCAAGACACCGGCTCTAGTTCTCATGCAAGAGCTGAGCCTGCGCCAGACCCAGCGAAGGGTTCTTCTGAATCTCCTCAGGAGCGCTCTTCTTCTGCTTGGCGATCCACTGACCCAGCTCGTTGAGGCGGTTCTTCAAGCCCGGAGCAACAGCCTTGTCATTGGCAATGCCCTGCACCTTCAGCGCAAGCTTCATGCCGTTATAGATCGGCACATTCTCCTGCAGCATCTTATCCACAGCGCGCCAATCCTGAACATCACTAGCAAAGTTACCCATCTTCCAGCATCCCAGCACCCGACTACTGTAGATGCGCACCAGACCACCCTGATCCTTACCCTCGAACTCACTCAGCGCCCTAGCAGCACTCAACTCCAACAGTGTGCCAGATACAAACGGCTTTCTCTTCGGATCAGCCATCAAATCATGCTGAGCATGTGCCGGCCGCTCCATCAACCCAACCAACTGCGTCGCCATATTGAGAGCCTTCGTGACCTCCTGGCCCTGGAACTCCGCCTTCTGAGCCTTGCGATGCAGCTCAAAGAACAACCGCTGCACAATCCCGACCTCATTCAGCTTCACGCCCGTCCTGTCCGCCTGCTTCGCGCACTCCACCACAAAGTTCAGCGCATTGTGTTCGCCCGCCTTCCGCACAAGCCACTCCATCCGGCTAGGCTTCAAATGCCGCTTGGCCATCTGAAGTCCCGACAGGAACGGCACCAGGTTCTTCCAATCCTCCTTGCTCTGCATCAGGCTGATTACCTCCGCGGCTTCTTTGAGCGTCGGTCGTGATTGCGGGTCCATCGGGCGCAGGAGGAAGTCTTCGTCCTCGCTTATGTTGGCCGTCACTGGCTCTTGCTCCAGTCTGTCGGCGTATTTCTGCCGAAACATGAGACGTCGTTGGTCCTGGCCTAGACCGAAGGGTATGAAGAGCTCTTCGCGGAACCGGGTGAGGGCTTGGTCCAGCTCCGGGGACGAGGTTTGTTGGAAGGTAGGGATAGCTGCGGATGGTCCGTTAGTTTCTCCGTCTGCTCAATTCCAGAGTACATCAAGCAGGTAAATAGACATACCATTTCTCGAAGCATTGCGCGTCTGTGTGAGCGACCCGATGGATTGACGCAGAGTAGTGGAATTCTGGCTGCGGAAGAGCCTTCCCACGGCGTTTTGCGCCATCGTTATGGGAGATATCTATACTCAACGGACCACAAAGAAAGAAAAAGAATACAGTCCGGAGGAAACTCTCACTCAATCCCTCGAAACAAAACCACCGGGGTCGAGCAAGTAGATAGATAGTTATTTGGCGGCAGAAAAGTTCCCGAGCGTCGAATCTGGGACTGATGGCCCAAACAGGCAACTCGCGGCTTGGCGGAAATTCTGCCGGTCCGAATTTCTCGATCCGCCCTCCCAAGTTCCGCATCACGATTGAACCTGTGTCTTGCTTCCTCAAACGCCAAGGTGGTTTAATTGCACCAAGGAATAAGCCATGGCGTCTTCTTCCCCGATCCTGCAGCAGCTGGGCTGCTTTCGGTCCCTCCTCCTGAAGCCCCAGTCCCTGTCGTCCACCGTCAACAACCAGATCGGTCGCCGTGCGCTCAGCACCGTCTACTCCGCGAAGCCTGAGCCCAAGCCTCTCCCTAAGAACCTGCCGGAGCAGTTCCTTCGTCAATTACCGCTTCGCATGCGGCCGAATCCTGGTATGGACTGAACTATCTCATTCTATGCTTGGACTTGCATCCATCTCGAGTTACCGATGGCTTGCTTTACCCGGATCATATATCTAACATGTTTAATGAATGATATGCAGAGCGCAAAGAACGCAAGATCCCTCCTCCGCCGCCGGCCCCTCAGTGCAAGGACCCCGTGAACGCCGTGCAAGAGGCCCAATTGGCGCAGCTGGACCCCACGGGCGAGCGCCGCGCTCTTTTCGACTACAGACGGAGTCCTCGCAGTGTCAAGGTCGGAGATGTTCTGCGGGTGACGTTCAAGAACGGAGATCCGTTCTCCGGAGTGTGTTTGAGCATTCGGTTGCGCGGCATTGATACGTCGTTCTTGTTGCGGAACCAGTTGACGAGAGTTGGAGTTGAGATGTCCATCAAGGTGTTCAGTCCTAATGTTGAGAGTGTGGAGATTGTGCAGAGGGCGGAGAAGAGAAAGAGACGCGCGAGGTTGTATTACATGAGGTGCGTATCAATTCCTTTGTGGATAGTGGATTGTATTGGATGGGAAGGCTAACAAGATCTCCTTCGGGGTTATAGGAAGCCCAAGCACGACATGGGCAGCGTCGAGAACCTCGTTGCGAACTACCTCCGGCAGAAGAGATCGCTTACCGGCAAGAGGGGCGGTGGCCAGACGAAGAGACGGTAGACTCGGTCAGACCCTTTCTGCGCATAGTTTGGACTTGGGTTTATTTGGCGCGAATGAATGTGTATTATTACTAGCATATGTGTGTATATTGAATTTCAGTCCCGGTTTTACTTTTTGGGCGGATATGGATGATTCTTGAGATGTTGGTTGCAGCTCATGATACCTACCTAGGCCGGGGAAGCATCTAAAAGAGAGAAAGATAATGAATTAGAACATCTACACCTTCCGAATCATTTCTTCTACGATCTTCTAGCCAGTTGGCTCAGGCCCTGGGCATATGGATTTCTAGCGTGCTTGGTAACAACTACTGATCTCACGTCACGGCAGATCAGATAGCCACCGACGGCTTGTTATGAATGAATTGCATTTCCAGACAAGACTAACTGCAGAGATAAAGAATGTATTTCTAGTAAATATACCGAAAGCTATTAACGACAGCAGTTAGCACCCATATATACCATAGCAGACCGTGTATGGGAGAAGGGGGAAAGGGTCATACTTGAGATTCTCCCGATCCGTCAAATCCAGAAAGGCAGTGGAATCCAAATCTCTCCCCTCCAGACCACCAGCCATCTGAGACTGGATTCGATCACGGCGTTTGTTCTCCCAACGAAGCAGAAGACCGAGCGCGGAAATGAGCACGACTTCGATAAGGTGGCAGACGATCATTGACCAGATTCCCAGATCATATGTTGGCCTGTTATCCCAATGTTTTAGTGCTATTACATTGCTCTGGGGGGTGGGGATAAAGCTTACTTCTGACTCTCTTTGTAGAAGAAAGGACCTGCGATGTTACCGGTACAGTAGCCTAGGAAGAGGACTGCGTTGGTGACGACTTTTTTCGTGTGTCCTGGGCAACGTCAGTTTTGACTAATTTCTTGGGTAAGGGAGGATAGGATAACGTACCGGCTGTGTTTGCGATTTGCATACTAAGAATCAGCACGAAGGCAGCATTGTATGGCCCCGTCAAGTAGTAGCAAATCAAGCGGCCGACCTTGACATGCTGTGGGACGAAGCGTAGCCCAAATGCTCCTGCAATGTTCGGGAGGAGGAAGATCAAGATGAAGATGCAACGCCTGTTCTCGAAGCGGTCGTTGAGGTAGACGCAGAGGAGGATGGATAGTGCAATTATGACTCCATAAGGGATCTATGCTGTCAATGTTTACTCCATACCGTCTGTCTTGAGCACTTCACATACCTGCATCAAGGTTGTCACAAGAGTCGAGAATCCAAATCCTTGGATGATAATGGTTCCAAAGTTCGAGATGCCACCGTTGGGAATGTTACCTGTCAACAGTCTATCAGCGTAATCAACCTTCGAATGCTGCAAAACCGTGACTCACAAACTACACCCAAGAAAAAGAAAAAGTAGAGCTTGTAGTCCGTGAATGCTTCCCAGATCTGATGCGGCTTGATATGCTTATTCTCGATACCCGTCTGGTTTTCCCGCACTCTTTCCACTGCGATTCGCCGCTGCCGCTTGGTGAGAAGCGGCGCAGTGACTGGCGAATCAGGCAGGATGATGAACATGACTATTCCCCAGGCCGCACAAAGAGATCCACTGACGATAGCTGATTAGCAGCGCTCCAAGGATCAAGATTCAAGGCAATATCTTACATTACGATGAATTCGTACTTCCACGAAGGAAGGGCACCTCTGATATGTCCAATTCCATAGCCAAGAAGACCACCAAGTGCGATTCCCAAGCCGTTGGCGGTGTACCATAATCCTAAGCGTACCGGCTGTTCACGTCGCGTATACCACATACTAGTGATGAGCATGAAAGCAGGGTCCGAGCACGCCTCTGCTGCACCACCTAGGGCTCGCAAGACAGCGAGCGTTGCGAAGTTATGGCATGCTGCCTGTATAATGAGAAATACTCCCCTGCATAAGTTTAGCATACCTTTCATACAAACAAGCCCGTTGATCCACGTACCACATGAAGATATTGGCACCAAGATACTTTCCTAGACGGCACAGTTAGTCCGTATCTCACCACAGAAAGCCTGGCTCTTACCAATTGGTAAGCGTTGCAGAAGAAAGTTGGTGGGCTAATGGGATGTTAACATTTGGATCTCATTTCCCAGCTGATTGAACTCACAAATGCCCAAGCCAGAAAACCGAAGTAGAAGATACTTGATAGCCAGCTATATTGTGTGCCATGGAGATTGAGGTCTTCCTCAATTCCAAAAATTGCTGCGTAGCTCAGTGTTGTCTATTGCAGGTTATAATCAGCCGCTGCAAGGATGAACGTATTAAGTTGTATAGAGCAGCGTACCTTGTCGATGTAAAAGAAGGCATAGCAAACGGCAAGATATGGCAGGATCATGAAGTCAATTTTCCACAGTAGCTTTCTTACTTCCGCCGGATCAACAGGCTCGTCAAGCGCATCTGGATCAGTAAAAAGAGCCATAGCTACGTCGCCATCAGGCGCCTGCTTTTGAACCCAATCTGTTTCATGATTGCTCGCAAGTTGATGGCCTATATTTTCCTCATGAGCGATTTGTGGTTTGGTATGTGATATTTCCGCCATTTTGATAGCTAGTTCAATGGATCTCTGGTAAATTAGGTCAATGGTTGATGAAAGCTAGCAGAATGTGCTCATGAATTCTCTGACAGGGAAGCTATCTCGCATGCGGACCTGAGAGGCTAGCGAGCTCAAAGTCCAGCTGGACGAAAGGAAGAGCGATTCGGAAGAACAAGGTGGTTATAATGTCTACAAGACCCCTGCTTTTATGTTCGACGCTAGTAGGAGCTTTGTCCTTCACATCGGGCCCCGGTCCTGGATGCGAGCTCCCCGAGTATGGGCATCTACCAATCATTGAAAGACTTCTGTGCCGACGTGGGGGTCTGAGACGCTGTCGAGGCGAGAAAAGCATTCTTTATCTCGCCTCCAGGTCTGGAATACCGACTAGCACGGCATATGTTGAGCAAGCCAAGCCACATATTGTTCACCGTCATTGGTGATCCGGGGTATAGCTTGTATCTGGCACCACTAATTGGACGATAGGAGGCAAGAAGTCTCGGAGAAAAGCCGATCAGAACAAGGATTGATGGCGATCTGCTTCAGGCTTTAGACGGGCATAAACCTGGTAGGCGGATTAATTATAGAGTTCGCATGGCATGATGTCTTCGAGCATGCCTCACGGTGTGCTGGAGAGTATGAAGCGGAGAAGTGGAGGTGACCCCGCGTGGGGGTCGTCGATCCGGGGTATCCCCAGCTCCCCGTTCCCTCCACATTTCTACTAGCACTAGCACCATCAATCTCTAAAGATAAGAAGTGGATCTATCCTTATATACCGACTCTGGTCTGGATATAAGCTTCTCGGGGTGTTATTTGACGGGTCTGACTGCCAGCTCCGTATATATAGCATTAGTAAATAGATATGTAATGCGTCCATCTAAGGTTGATTAGCTGGCAACCCTCGAAGGGGAAAGGGAGCTATGGCGTCGGAGCAAGTCCGCGTAGCAGGATCATCAGACTGGAAATGGGAAAGGGGTTTTATTAGACTATGACTGTGTGCCGCGGATGCTATCATTCCATAGCCAGAACCCAGTATAGTGGAAGCAATGGGCTGGGATCTGATCCTATGGAAGAGACAGTCTGGAGACTAGAATTGGACAAGGACGAAGACGCTACACCCCATTAGGAAACCCGACTTCAGAGCCGAGCCTGACCATGCCATACAAGAGACCCAAGACCTCGCTTAGGAAATCAGCGCCATAATGATGCGTGTTGCTCGCAAGAGGACGTTTCAAGATTATATTACCATCACTGGCAAGCCTACGCACTCATATCAAAGTTACACAATCATGGGACAAGAAGTACAGAACACCTCGCACTGCCAGTAACAACACATTATCCTGTATTATCCCATCCTCGAGGATAATCAACTCAGATGAAGTGACAGCAGACATAAGAGGTATAAACGGGATATCGGTATCATCTCTAAAGGTCCGCGACTGACAAATCGAAACTATCCAAACACACAGGGGGTTACTAGTCTAGCCGACGACGATTAGCTCGATAGGCGGGATCCCTTCCCAAGCGTCTAGACCAAGCCGTTAGTTCAGATTAATCAATATCTTACTTTATCTTAGAAGGATCGATAAGCTTGGTAATGGTCTCCGTGCCATCTGGCCTATCTGATGCTATCAGTCATGTAGTCTACACAACGAGCACCAGATGGCCGTTAGCAATGGTGACGGACAAGTAACTTGATATTCAGGGCTTTCAGCATCACTCTGGTGGGTCCTTGTGGTGCCCATATTTGTAGGAGGAGCATGGTCTAATCATCAGAAAGCGACATGTTGCATGTTGCGAGCACGAGATACTGGCATTTGGTTAGTCTTCTAACCAACCGCCCGTTGTCGCTGATAATGGCGCGGATGTCGGCAGGTAATCCATCAGGAATCCAATAGCATCTGCTTTGACAAGCGACACAACTCATAAGCCTGTTACCTAATAGGACTAGCAGAGATAATTCTTTGCCGGCCAATAGTATAGTAGAGAAATTGGAGGCAAGAAGCTTATATCAACATCAACGAATATATCAGGGGGTCCTTTATAGCTGCCCACTAACAACAGCTTCTCCCTAAGATCTGCGAGGTCATCGGACAGGTTGTGACTTGTCGCTGAGATTAGCATCGAAGGCCCATGGACAGGGATGTGCAATACTAGCAGTTGAGAGACCATTCGGGCCATCGAATAACCGGGGGTTGCGTGATAATGCCAGCATTTTCTGACAACAGCGTCAAGGCTGGGGAGCACTGGAGGGTGGCCGATTTGTCAGTCATCCCGCTATTATTCGTCAACTGACATGAGTGTAGTCTACTCATTCTGTGACAGACTGTTTACTGTGTTTAGCTCTGTGCTGTTAGCTGTTGGCAGTTTGTCTCAATCCAAAGACATGTATAGATGGCTCAAGAGATCTATAATGTGGGCATAGTCTGATATTGTAACTGCATTGATCCAAGCTTGATGATCTTGCACGTCATTCTAGTTAACACGCGAGCATTCACACATGCAAACGTTCAAGAAATCACTTGGTTTAGTAATCGCATGTAAGGTCTCAAAAAATCAGACCAGCAGGCTATATGTGAACTAGACCTAGCAGAGGTGCGCCGTGTGCAATCATGAGGTGCACGGCAGCATAACTATTACTGAATGTAGACTGCGCTTCAATTGAAGCTTAGAGCAGACGTATTCAAGGGCTGTCCAGTGGCCGCCCAAGACTCACACTCGGAGCAACGAAGACTTCCGCTGTCCCTCGTTGGTGGTCAATGTTAGAGTATCCGGATAAAGACAAGACCAATGTCTTACTGCCGCGTCGTTGGTGCAAATGCCATACGACGGCAAAATAAGCCGGAATATAGAGCAATCTCCCTCGTGACCAGGAATTCGTACCTGAGCTCAAAGTCCTTCCAAGAGTTGGTTGAAGGGGTGTGTACGGTAACGGGTAAATGTCCGAGAGCAGCGCGGTCGGGAATGCCGCCAATCTGCGTGGCTTTTGTTATCGAGTAGGATAAGTAGACGAACGGGCGACTGCCAAGCGACCATACAAGCAGACGGCGGTTTCATCGCTGACGAGATTCCAGTCCATCTGCAGACGGGAGTGGTCTGATATGTCATTCGCTGGTCTATTGAGCTAAGGGGATTAGTATAGACAGGGGCTTGTCAGCATCGATCGAATTGAAGGACGTGGAATGGTTGCGTTGGGAGCTCTGGGATGAAGAGAACAGACTCCTCATCTTCAATCACATGCTCCCTGGCAGGAATTGATTGATTGATGAATGATCGATCTCCCCACTAAGTCATCAGCTGGTCACACCTGTCTACCGCGTCTGACGGATCGTATCATTTAGTATGATGGTCGAGATCTTTCATATGAATCATGATATGGTGGTCGTTAAACTTTTGGTACCCGTTGTGTAGAGGAGGTCCAACAGTCATGGCATGGCACCATTGTGCGCCCGTTAGGTTTGACGGGTTTGCCAATATTTGATCCTACTGCGCTGGGACCAATAACAATATTATAATGCAAGTAAGTCAGTAATTGACCTCAAGGCATGTGGCCGCTTTGGGACAGGCCAGCCTTCCGCCCCCATCCATCGGCTGAAATGAAAAAGGGCGTAACCCAGAGAGAAACATTATCATGGTTACATTGAAAATGCTTTTCACCCACATTTTCGGTTCCACGACACCCTCCCTTTCAGCCTTCTGCCCGCAATTTCCATACCCCACCGTTTGGAGAAAAAGGACGCTATCGGGACACCAGACTCAGACTGGACCACCACCGAAGAAGTGGGGGTTATTGCTAACCCATTTCCCGTTTAGCTGCATGCCTTCGGAGCTCTCCTGCCCGCGTCCTCCAATACCCGAAGAGAGAATTCCCGGAGAGGAGGCCCTGGACACACACACACCCTCTCTCCCTAACTCTCACACCGACTTCCCACCGTCGAATAACACCATCTTCTCAGCCTGCTGCGGGTGTGCGGACGGCCCTGGTTGCAATTGGCGGAAAGGGCCGTGACGGACCTGCAGATCGAGCCAAAGACGAGGGTCTGAAATTCTCACATGCCCCGACAACCGCCTGGAATTCCCCCAGAAATCGCTCGGCAATAAATAGTCACGATCCTTCGCCGTGCTTGATCGCGGCTAGTCCAGCGCGGTTTATTCTCTAGTGATAGATCCGCTTCGCCTCGTTTCAATCCATTGGCCCATTGTCGTTGAATGACTGCAGTAGTGCGACCGCTAGGCAGGCATGGGCAGCCTACTGGACGACCAGACTGCGGTTTCTAGCGTATCTTAAGGGTACTGCTTGCACCTTCAATTCGGGGAACCTGCCTTTCGTTTAAATAATACTCGATATGGAGTGCTATGAAGATCAATTGCTCCGATGTTTGGTTTCATTGCGTGGGACGCCGTTCTGATCCAGCGATTGTCATGTCAAAGTCTTTCGTAGTCCGGCATGACAGTCAACTTGGTGTCTTGTTTCGAGATGCAAGCCGCTAGTCTTGAGAGATCATTGGCCTTGTAGCTAGCTGTCGATAAACTTAGTAGGGAAGCAAGCCAGTGTTCACAACTCTAAATTTTGAGTGGCTATCCGATCCGACGCCAGGCACGGCAAGGGAACGCTTATCTACTCACGTCTCAAGACCCCGGATTTTCCTGGCAATATGACCAGGGAATGAGCGTAGTTGGTCAACAATGCATCCAAGAAGTCCAAGTGAACGAACGATAGATGAGTGGATGCGCGGCCTTGTCCGGGAGGCCAGATTCGGCGAGACGGCATGGCTTGCAGCAAGGTCAATTTGTCCTAGACCCCGCAAGCATGAGTTATCTACGAATATGTAAAATTGGAAAGAGGTGGATGAAAAGGTGGATATGTGTGCATCGGATCTTTCCAGATGACAATCAACACCAGGTCATCCGCCAGAAGCAAGCTCACAAATTGTGAGGGGCAGTCAGAGATCTGGTCAGTGGCATTAACGGCTACTATTACCTTACTTCTCTACCATCCGGTCATGGCGCAAAAGGTTCAAGGCTGTTCAAGTTGCAAGTCTCGTTTTCGAGCCTCCACAACCGATTCCAACGCACTGGGCGGTAGTTCTTAACCTGGCGGACCACTGCGTGTAACCATGGGACCAACTGCTCATTCCGCCAATGGCAATGATCGGTCCAGAGGAAGGATGCCACATGTCGTCATGCTCCCAGAGTTGCAAAAGGTCATGAATATGAAGCCGCCACGCAGATCCGAAGATCACTGACGTGGGGGGTGGTTAGGTAAAGCAGTAAACGCAGTAATATGCAACCTGATTAATGCTGAAATTGTGAGGGGAAACCGACCCTCCGCTCCCCGCATTCTACGCAGATAGGAAAGGAGAAATTAAAAATTGCAGTGTCCATGAAGGGGTCAGAGTCCTGGGTATAACGTGGCCTACAGTCGGAATGATTGAGCAGGGCGAGGAATGACTCTAGACAAACACTGAAGAGGGGGGGGAAGATGACCGTCTACACACGAGATCCACCGCCATGGTACGATGATGGTAGGACTGGATCATAGGGGGATGATGGTTGTGTTTGCTCGAATGTGGTCTGAGACACACCAAGCAGCAGCCTCCGCGGGCAGAAGTGGTCATGAAACCCCAGTATCGTCACTTGCCTTACGGCTTCCCGGGCAGGGGAATGGCAAGTGACGTAATTTCCCTTTGGGTGTTTGACTCCCGAGCCACCGGGCCGCAGCAGAGAGTAACGCCTCTTTGGGGCCGATGTTCCGACTAGTACTAGCAATACTGTTAGTGCGCAGGTCTGCAGGTCGCGAGGACGGAAAAGGGAAACAGAAAAATGTAATTATTACAAAAGTATGTTTCCTTCGAGTAAAAAATCAAATTCATGGTAGACAAAGCCCACCATTGTGTGGTCTAGAAGACCCTCAGTGCTGAGCACTCGCACCGATCGTAGCATTCAGGATACGATGACGCATGATGGGGTCCCCCCGGAGGACAGACAGCCTGCCTACGAACGGAGGACAGCCGCCCTTCCTTCTCCAGCCGATTTCACGCACCTTTAAGGGGGGGCACGTATCTTAGGGAGCTTAACATCCACAATCGACCCACCCTTGGCCACTTCTGGATAAGAAAAAAGTGGGTAGTGACCATCCTCCAGTGGGACGCTGGCCTTTATAACGTCGAATGACCCTCCATTTGGCCTGGAAACGTTAACGTCAAAAATACATACTTGGGAAACGGCAGGGACACAAAACCTGAATTCTTCACCTTTTTGATAAATCCCTTCCACCCCCCAACCCTCCAACCAACAGACTTGCATTATTCCAACCGATCAGTATCCCTCCTACGAATCATTGCCACTTTTTGCAACCATCATGTCGCGAACTAGAGTTCTGCTGGTCGGAGCTGCGGGCGAAACGGGCGGCTCTATTGCGAACGGACTGCTCGAGAATCCCGGCTTTGTAAGAACCCCTCCCTGCTTTCCTGATATCTTTTCTTCTCTTTGAGCCTGAGTCTAACCTCTGCACCGCTTTCCGTTATTATAGGAGGTTCATGCCCTCGTCCGTCCCCGTTCGGTTCAGAAGCCTGCCATCGTAGCCCTGCAAGAGCGAGGCGTACAAATCCGCAAAGGCGATCTCAAGGGCCCCGAGAAGTCCCTCGCCGACGTCTTGACCGGAATCGATGTCGTTGTCAGCTGTGTCGGGCCTGCGGAACAGCAGGACCAAATCCCGCTCGCTAAGGCCGCAAAGAGTGCCGGAGTCCAGCGATTCATCCCATGTGGATTCATTACTGTGGCACCGCCCGGTGGGATCATGTGGTTGAGAGACGAGGTAAGTCGTCGTGGCCGCCGCTGCAGCTGCACGCCATACCTTCTCTGGTCATCAGCTGACTTCTTCTCCAGAAAGAGACAGTGTACAACCACATCAAACAGCTCCGACTTCCTTACACCATCATCGACATCGGTTGGTGGTACCAGCTTTCTTACCCCCGCCTCGGTTCCGGAAGAACCGACTATGCCATGACTACAGCGAACAACGAAATCGTCGGTGATGGCAACACTCCTCTTGCCCTGACGGACCTCAGAGATATTGGACGCTACGTCGCCAAAATCATTGTTGATGACCGCACGCTGAACAAGATGGTCTTCGCCTACAACACGGTCTTGACGCAGAATCAGATCTATGACCTTCTGGAGGAGATCAGCGAGGAGAAGATCCAGAGGAACTATGTAAGTACAGTGACTCGCTGCGTCTGTTGGATGTATGCTAATATCTTCTGTCACAGATCCCTGAAGAGACCATTTACACCAGAGTGCTTGCAGCACGGCAGTCTAGTGAGACTTATCCCTTCGACCCTGTCAAATTCATTCCCCGATACCTGGCCGAAAACCAACTGTCATGGGGTGTCCGTGGCGACAACAACCCTGAGTACGCCAAGTACCTAGGCTACTTGACCTCCAAGGATCTGTATCCCGACTTCGCTCCTCACGACTTCAGGGAATATCTTGAGACGGTTGTCCGAGGCACGGCTAAGGGTGTCTACACCGACCGGGTAATCTCCAAGGCTCACCAACGGATGTTCCCTCGGACCGAATCGAGCGATTCGCTTTACACCCGGATATTCCCGAGAACGGAATCTAGCGACTCTCTCTACATGTCGAGGTAATCGGGACATGCATTTTACTTTCAAGCAAAAGGATTTTGAGGCGACGCTAGACGTGCCTCCTGGGACCCGGCGCGATGTGTATATGACACCATTTGGTCGAAGCCACGCTATGCGTTGATGGCTTCATTCTCTTCTCTGCCTTATTTCGCTTTACACGAACGGTTTTATTATTTCCGTTTCTTTCTATTCCCTGGGGGCTCTAGACTGGCGTTTTTGTATCTATGATGGCTTATGGTTGTCTGAGTGGGTAAGACTCACCACTCATTTCTTTGATTTACCAATGTATCTGAGGGGCTTTTGACCTTGATTGGACGATATTTCCGTTTAAGCCAGAACTTACTTCTACTTATACCCATGCGATTTGAATCCAACCTAGACGTGATCCACACATTCGTTTCACGTTACCCTTCCAAGTAATTAAGAAGCGTGCGGAAGAGCAAGCACATGGCTGTTGTTCCAACTCCACATGCTCCTTCCGTGTTTACTCTTCTCAACTTTAACTGAGCCCTCTGCTTCACGCACTGCTTTAAATTTTGAACCTCCACATCAATTGCGTCTTTAGCTAGATGCTCCTCTTACAAAGTGAGCATGCCTCATCAAAGTCAGGGAATACAGGGATCTGAAAGAGTTATCCCCACGAATGAACACTACGCTTATTCAACCCGACCTCCTAGCCAGGATGGGCTTTCGGCAGCGTCCTACGGTGTCTTGAAGCCCCGACAAATCACCATGGTTGGTCAGTATTACGATTGAGGGTATCTAGACTTTGCACTAATACATATTTCTCCAAGCTATTGGTGGGGCTATCAATACAGGTTTGACGATCTGCGCAGGGAACGCATTGTCCAAGTAAGAGAACAATCCCCGATCGCAGAAGTTACAACTGACATTTGAAACAGGGCCGGTGTAAGTGTGTCACTTCTGAACTCAACACACTTTTATTAATATGGTTAGCCTGCATCGATTTTGATCTCCTATACAGGTGTTGGGGTAGTTGTCTACTTGGTTCTCTGCGCTTTAGGGGAGGTGGCCTCGTGGTCTCCCGACCCATCCATGACGGACCATGCTACTAGACTCTGTGATCCTGCGCTTGGGTTCACTTTGGGATGGATGTAAGCCGCCTTGTGTGGGATTGGAACACTACATCCAACATTCAATAACCGCAGAATGATAGATACTGGTTCAAGTTCATGGTCGTCATCCCCAACCAGCTGGCAGCAGGAGAATTGCTGATATCGTACTGGCAAGACAACGAAGCGAAATACTCGGTTCTTTGGACCACTGCCTTTTTAGGGGTTATCATCGCTGCCAATTCCATGTGCGGTCGATATTTGGGAAAGTACGAAGTCATTTTGTCTTTTTTCAAGGTCCTGGTGATGTCAGGGCTTATGGCTCTATCTATCGTCCTTGCACTCGGAGGGGGGCCAGATCGCGATATGAAAGGCTTCCGCTACTGGAGAGACCCCGGAGCCTTTGCGAATGGTACAGGAGGCGCCGTGGCAGGTACCGTTCGGGCTATCTGCAGAACAGTCCCTTCCGCTACGCTCGCCTATCTTGGGAGTGAGTTGATGGGAATGACGATTTTGCGCACACAAAACCCCCGAAAAGCCGCAGGTCGGGCGATCAAGGTGACTTTCTATCGCATCTTGGTTTTCAACATTGTCAATAGAACGCTCTTAGGGATGCTCGTTCCCCACGACACCCACATGCTGGCATTTTCCTACAATGCGCCCCAGCATCGGACGGCCTCGGCTTTCGTAGCTGTTGCTCAATCAGCCGGGCCTTCGGTAATTCCGCACATCCTGAACGCCTGTCTTTTACTATTTGTGCTATCGGCTGCAAACCAGGCTCTTCAAATGGCAAGCGTCACACTACACGGGCTTTCTTTGGACAAGAACGCCCCTTATTTCTTGTGCCGTACCAATAGGCGAGGAACCCCCATCTATTCGTTGGGTACATGCTCTGCTTTGGCGTGTTTGGCGTACTTGAATATCTCCAGTGGCTCCAAGAGACTATTTGAATACTCGGTCAACCTGGTTTCCATGTTCAGTATCCTCACATGGGCTTCAATCCTCGTGATCCATTTCTCTTTCATCCGAGCAAGAAAGGCTCAAAAGATCACTGATGAGGTCTTGTCCTTCCGAGCGCCCCTTGGGCTGTTCGGGTCGTGGGTTGCACTGGTAGCATGTGTCTTTGTCACGGTCATACGTGGGCTCGACTTTGTCGACCCAGAATTTTACCCCAGAGGAATAGATCGCAGCTTGGCATTTGTGACCTCCTACATAGGCATTCCACTCTATATCACGCTCGTGATTGGTTATAAGATTGGCACCCAAAGCAAGCATGTACAACCACAGGATGTTGATATGGGGTCCTTGACACCCATGCCGGAGCCGCACGTCGCGGATGGCAATACCGTGGGACAAGAAGGATCCGATTCAATCCCATTGAACCGGACGTAAACGATCGGGAACCCTTTCTGAGTCTGTGTGGTCCATTTTGATGTAATCGTTGATCCCAACAGCGTCTGTTCCAGCAACTGGGGAGGTTTATGTTATGGTGCAAACCCCCATACACACCCATTATTACATCCAAAATTACCGCCCCATTGCATTCACTGGGCATTGAGCAACATGCCTTTTTGGTGCGCGATACTTGGATGTTCCTTCTCTCTTTCCGTTTTTCCCAATCTTTTTGTCCCTATGATCGGGCGAGGAGTGGGGACTGTCATCGCGCCCGTTTACACGGCAACCAACAACTACAAATACAGACTAGAATAGAGTGTAAGGTGTGAGCGACCAAAAGGAGATACCCCGGAATCACCATGACAATCACAGTTGCAGTTGAGCAATTTTAATTTCTAAATCACTAGAGTCAGGGTTCCGGCATCGTAGGATAACGTAAACTGTTCTTGAAATTCTCTGGCATACAAGGATTCGTGGTATCGGCGCCAAACGTTCAGCCATAATTTGCTGGGGTGGGGGAGCTGGCATGGATGTGTTAGTGTGGGCTCAACAGCTCCCTCTTTCTCTTCTGCATCTCCATCCGTTCTGCATGCCCCTCCCTTTTCCTTGTCTTAGCCTCTGTGACTCCTTTCTTTGGGTATCTTTAAACCGCCTTCCTCTCTGTTGACCAGAAGGGCAATGCATTTCATGTACATGATGCGCAGACCAACCTTCGTTTGATTTATTGAGCCAACCATTTGTTTACCTGGTTCCCAGTTTTATCTAGATGCAAAAGGGAGATACAGAGATACGATTCGACCTTTGGTTAGAACAAGAACGCATCACTTCTTTGCAACGTACCAGTTTAGGAACCACCAGTGCACGAAGAGGCACCGTCACTTGCCTACCGACGCCGCAGAATGACTTTCCCCCGTACCCCAATCAGGAGTGGCCGGGAATTGAACAAGTTGATCGATTCGATAAACGAGCAATTTGATTTGGACATCCCCAATCCCCTCAACTATTCTCCATCTATCGGTGAAAATAACAAGTCACTTGGCTGGAGCCTCTATGGCCGGATTCGAGTGTTATACTTCAACCGCAAGGTGGACTTGAATCGGATCTTCAATGACTTCGAGGAGTGGCTTGCCTCCCAGTCGGCGGTGCTACCTGCTGGGGATGGTCGCTGGGGACATATACCAGGCTCATTCGCAAACACCTCGAGAAATATCTTTATCAACAACGTGAGCAGTACTATCTCAAAGGAGGAGCGCCAACGATATCTGGAAAGATTGTTCAATGACGAGCTCTATCTGCTCACTGGCTCCTTTCCAGCACCCAGTAAGGGCAACGAACTTCTAGAAGAGCCACCAGTCCCATCAGGCAGCCCGCTCAAGAGAAGGCTTTCTGTGGAAGAGGAATTTCATACTGCTCCCAGCTCTCCGGTCAAAGATCCAGACAGGCCGCATTCTCCTATATCCAAAGAAGACGCCTGCGATCTTTCCGTTGGAAACATCAACAGGACCGGATACCCAGTCTTACAGCCATCAAACGTCACAGTACCAGTGAACATATTCAAAAGTCCAAAGAAAACCGACAATGATAAGCCCTCCAACTTTGTGGAACGCTTGAGGGGTTCCGACAGTTACCAGCGTTACGATGCATTGCCAACCTCCAATGATCGAGCAAAATTCAGCTTCAGCACAGTATCTGATACTTCTTCCAGCTTCCTTGATTCGACTACTGCTCCCTACGAGACTTCGTTCACGTCGGACACCACTGAAGCGGTCGAGTCAATGCTGGAAACCGAATCTATGTACGAGGTGTCCGTAGTGGAACATCGTCTGAGCGAGCAAGTAACAACACCAAATCTTGCAGAGATCCAGAACCTAGAACAAATCGCTTGTCAGGAACCTCGCGATTCAATTGAGGGGCGGATAATGACAGACCTCCTCCAATTCGGACCGTTCTCGCTCGATCACCAATACCCGAATACCGTCTCCCTTCGGTATAGATATGAACTAGAGAGGGTAGCTAGAGAGTGGGATATATCCTTGGATCGCATGTTGGTCGGTTCTAGCATATCCTTCAGGACACTTGATGATTTCTGGCGCTGGATAGAGGGACATAATCAGCGGGGAGGGAAACGGCTCCCCGAAAGGTCCTCTCGCAAGGCCTGGGATGCTGCTACTGGCAACTTCATGACTGACAAACATTCAGAAGTTGTCGTCCTGACAGGGGATATGGAGTGGTCCGCACAAGGGGTCTTCGAAGCTAAGATTGAATCCCTTGAAGACTGAACGGACTTGTCGCTTTCACCGGCGGTTTGGATCAGACAGGTTTCTCAGTCTGACAGTGCCGGCTCCGGCGCGGCCTCCACCGCATCTCCGACTGCCCTCTGAGCCTACGCTCCTGCGGGAAACTCTGGGTCTATGGCTAACGCAGAACGTCCATCGATGCTTGGGGAGGACGTGGAAGCCCTTTTTCGTGGATCAAGTCACCTCGAAACGCAAGGCAGAAGAGCCCAAATTCCGTATTGATTTCTTCGCAATCGATGGGGTTGATTTTGACCATGGCTCCCATCCTATCCCTCCTATTGCACCTCCCCATCAAGACAGTAGTAATCACACTCCCATGAGCCTAGATGCGCTGGTTGATTGGCACATGCCTCGCGAAGAGAACCTCATGCAGACCAACTGCAAATTGTTTCAACGCTTCTCATTGGCTCTGTCGAAAACCTACGCTACAGTGGTCCTACAACCACGACAGGTTCTACCATTACCAGACGTATCCCAACCTGTTATGAATGATGGTTGCGCTTTGATGTCTAGAGGCTTGGCCAATAAGATTTGCGATTCGTTGGGACTGACGGGATACACCCCAAGCGCCTTCCAAGGTAGAATAGCAGGTGCGAAAGGGTTATGGATGGTCGACAAGCATCAATCGCACGTGTCAGCGGACGATAATGACGTATGGATACAGATATCTGACTCGCAGTTGAAGATCAAGCCGCATCCGTGCCAGTGGGATGAATCGGTAGACGATGAGAAACTTACCTTTGAGGTTGTGAAATGGTCTAAACCTTTGCATCCCGTGAACCTAAATATACAGCTTCTGAGTATTTTGGATCACGGTGGGCATATCAAAGAGCATCTTGCAGATCTCACTAGACTAGGAATACAATCGGTTTATCAGGAATTCGCGAACGTTCTTCTATCTGACAGCGCAGTGCTCTGCCGGAGCCTGGTACAGAAAATCCGGCCGTCGGGTGATGATGGATTTGGGCCGGTGTCCCAACGCACCTGGCGTCTCGAGAATTGGATGAGCAGTGACGCCGAATTTATCATCCGACTCACTGAAGCTGGCTTCTGCCCGCGGAGCTTCTACTTCCTCCGTAAGCGATTAGGGAAGTGCTTACGAGAGCTTCTGAAGCGACATGTGGACGAACTTCGCATCGAAGTGCCCCTCTCAACATACGCCTTCTGCATTGCCGACCCATACGGGGTTTTGAAGGAGGATGAAGTCCATTTTGGCTTTTCCAACAACTGGCGCGACGGGAAGGGGCAATTTGAAGATATCCTACTGGATGGCATTGACGTCCTCGTCGGTCGTCTTCCCGCCCACCTGCCCTCTGATATCCAGCGCCGGAAGGCAGTGTGGAAGTCAGAGCTACGACATTTCAAGGACGTAATTGTCTTTCCCAGTGTTGGCAGCATACCCCTGGCACATATGCTCTCTGGTGGTGACTATGATGGGGATACTCCTTGGATCTGCTGGGACCAAAACATCGTCCAAAACTTCAACAATTCCAAATTGCCGGATATAGAGTTCCCAGCAGAGCATTATGGACTTACCAAGTATGCTGTAGACATGAAAGACATCCAATCCATGGATGAATTCCTCCAGAGCTCGTTTACATTCAACTTGACCCTGTCGAATCTAGGCCGCTGTACTGTGGAGCATGAAAAGATCGCCTACGACGACTCAATCGACTCGGACAAGGCGAAGGAACTCGCTTGCCTCCTAAGTCACCTAGTAGACGGTCGCAAAGCAGGGGTCCACCTATCAGAGAAAGCATGGCAGCAATATCGCAAGAAGATCAGTCCCTGGGCACGCGAACTTCCCGCATATAAAAATCCCAGACGGAAGCCCAAGGAATCCAACATCATTGATTACCTCCGGTTCGAGGTCGCAACGCAGGAGCGGCACAAGATACTGAAGAAGCTCGAGGCGGAGTTCCCGGAAGAAAAGGCACCCTTCAGCAAAGATAAAGATTTGGTGAGGCCATGGTATACGATCCGTGAGAGAATCAAGAATGAAGGCCAGCGCGGGCAGTTATTCACAGCGGCTAAGGCCATGAGAGACATTATCGAGAAACTCTGCCTTCAATGGAACCGTTCTATCTCCCGAAGTCAGGACTCATTCTCTCCTCACGCGCTGGACGCCGCGGGAGAGGCCAGATCCATCCCTCCACCAGAGGGCGATCATCCTTTAATACTGGTCTGGCAACACTGCCGTGACGAATGGCTCCGGGTCCTGGCATCTTACACATATAACCAGCATCCCGGCGCCAGCTTCGTCATGCATGCGTTTGGCGAGGTCCTCTGCCAGATCAAATCGAGCGCCCTACCGGCACGATCAGTGACGTCGGAGATTCTCTCTTGCTACCGCGTCAACCAGAAGGTGGTCGCTCAGCTGACCGCACAGGATGTTGTTGAGGAAGGTGAAGAGAGGCTAGACGGGGAATATGAGTATGAAGGACATGAGGCGATCGAAGCGATGCATTTTGGGATGCGGTCGTCAGGTGGGTACTTTGATCCGGATGATTGCTTGTCTGTGGAGTGATTCGACTTGTTTGGAAAGATTGGATTTGGGTTCTCGTTGTGGGGACATATTATGAGTTGGATACTAGGTAGATTTTGATGATAGGATATGAATTATGAAACATGCTAAGATTGAGTGACACATGATGCAGTCAATTCTAGGAAGGCAAGCACAGACCAGTATTTCTCACATGTCAATGACTGGCAGCTTCATTATCGCTTCCGGCTTGCTCGCATTCCATCCATCCAGCTCTAGGAATGAATGGTTATTATTCACTCACATTCCATCCCCTCCTTATCCCTGACTTATTACAGATAATTGATTTTTCTTCTACCGAGAAATTGAGAAGAAATGAAGAAGAAATGAAGAAGAAATGAAGAAGAAATGAAGAAGAAATGAAGAAGAAATGAAGAAGAAATGAAGAAGAACTTAAGAATATCATCAAAATAACACAATTAAAAAATACTATAAGAACTTCAGGGGGTATTCAGAGAGAATTAAGAGACTTGGAACATGGGGGAAAAATAAAAAGAATAAGGCTCCACTGTACAGGTATCCATTCCAATACTCCTAGTCATCTAATAACTTCACCAAAAGCCATCTCCTCGAACTCCACCTCCCTCAAAAACCTCCTCTTCCCATCATAGTATACCCCATCACCACCAACACCTGCTACCTGCGTCGAGCAGTACAACCTCACCTTGACAGCACCTCTACCCCCTATCATACGCGCACTAGTAGTCCTATGCACATTCCTCTCACTCCGCATCATCTTCACTCGTTGTCGTTCCCTCTCCTCTTGTATAACTGCCCACCGGGCTTCACACTCCTCAAAGCGCTTCTTCCTCATTATTGCGCCTTTCTCCCATAGTTTCACTTGATATTTCATCTGTCTGTTCGAGTCGCCTGGCCAGTCGCTTGGCCCGTCATCTTTTTTTGATGAGACGGAGGATGAGCCTGATGAACGGGGAAGGTATTGTCTCTGTGGTTGGTAGAAGGGAGATTGGTAGGATTGTTGGTGTCGGTTGTAACGTTTCCGGTAATTCTTACTTCTGAGAGAATACAGGTTCTGAGACGGTCCAAGTTTAGGCTGGGTTATGTCAATGCCAGTAGCACTGACAGATACCTCATCCTCATGATTGACAGGATGCATCCTCTTCATCCAATCCTTCAGCTCGTATACATCTCTCACGTCCCGGCAGAGTCCTAGCATGCTGCGACGAAGAAGGTAATGTATGTGTATGTGGTAGTCCACGAGGTATTTCGCGAATTTGGGGTCGTCTGTCGCGTCGTGGCTAAGGTATATCTGGAGTTGGGCATTGTAGGCTTGTTCTTGGGTTGGTGTGAAGAGCTTCGTGTATGTGGGCGATGGCTCCTCTCTATTATCATTTCCCTCTTTGGGGGCCAGAGGTATTTCGTCGGGCGGTATTTCTCTGTCTTCTGTGGTGATGGTAAGACCTGGCGTCAGAAATGGTGGGTCGCGGGAGGCATCGTAGATGCCTTTTATGCGATCATCATAGTAGATGTCCTTGGGGACGGAGGTGAGATCGCAGGAGGTGCAGGAGAGGGCTTCTTGGAGGGAGGCATTCTGTTTTTGTTCTCTCAGGGACAACTTCAGAGTCTTTTGGGGTGTGGATTTGGGTTGTTCTTTGTTTTGGGTAGGTTTCTCTTCAACATCTTCTGTGTGGGGTGGTTTGAAAGGGATTGGCTTGGTTGTGTATGTGGATGCGAGAGGATGAGGGTCGGGGATGAGAGTGAGAGAAACGTACCATTGCCACATCCTCTCCATCAAGGGGAGAATGATGTGTAGCATGAGGCATGATGTTGGTTGGTACATTTGGATCATAGGGTTCGATATCAGAACTGATAGTTGGGTGAGGTGGGGAGAGAGTGCTATACTAGTTCCATGTATGGTGGTATAGAGTAGAGAGAGAAGAATAGTATCCAGAACAAACAAGCGTTGAGCTTACTATGCCATTCTCTCAGGGGCAAAACAAGAATATATAATACACAGTATACAACGATCTTCGACAATCCATTATCGGCAAGTCCCGCATCGTCCCAATGTTCTCATACCTGAGTGATGAAAGAATGGGTGGTTGTTCCATTTGTATATATTGGTGGTAGTAGGTATGGTTTCCGGGGCCGGGCACATGATGTTGGAGTGAGATGAATGTGATGGGGTCATTGGAGGATGATAAGAGGGGATCCTGTATTTGGTGTTAGAGTGATGGAAGTGACGAAACCAGAGGAATGAGAGCGGAAGATCATGGGGATTGGGTCGGACTCAGCTGGTTTGGGTTCATACTTTGTAGGAGATCAAGTGATGCGGGTTGGGGCGCTGTCAGGTGAGTGTTGTTGCTGCTTACTAGTAGTAATACTCGGGTGAGACTGTTGGGTGAGGGAAGTACATATCTGCAGATACCGGTCGTGATTGTTTCTTTATACTTTGGCAATGATAGGAATCGAAGAAAAATAGAAGGAAGTACCCGATTATCCTATGGATGTGAGATGGATAATTACTAGAATAACGGATTGCCAACTCAGATGGTTTGCCTGATTTTCAGTCATTGGGTAGACAGTAGTATCATATCTGTGGTCACATGATAAGGCTACTGAAGTACATGAAATAAGATCTTCCTACTCTAGGACCAGGGGTATAGCTTACTAGATGCTACATTAGCAATATCATTTGTCTCTTTGGTATAGCATACTATTGTGGTCATGTGTGGTCAACTGCTGTGCGCTGTCCTGATTATTCTCCCGATAATGCTGCAGGGCATATCTAGAATATATAAGCAAGCAAGATCTTCATGAATATGAGATCTAGGTCAGAATCAAAACCCCAAACTGCAACAAGCAATATTTCAAAGGACACTGTTGGTCAATGGTTTCGGAAAATACCATTTATCCTATTGGTGGCGCATCATTACATCCCCATGGCCAGCGTAGTTCTCTAGGTAGATGTGCTGCCACCCGCATTCTGTCCCCAGTTAACACCGTTAATAGCGCGCGATCTTCGAAGTAGAGACTGCCCGTAGCATGGCATTGGCGCATTCGGATCTATCCAGCCCTTCTTCCCATCCACCATCGCGTACCTGACCAATGCGTCCCAATAGTCGTCAGTGGGGATGAAAGGACACTCGAATCTCCATTCAACTTGGAGCCGTGCATTGCGTGCACTCTCATGTCCCAGAGTATTATCATTTGGCTCAGAAGAAGGTGTATGTGATATTACTTCAACCGTGCCCTCATAATTGGCTTCGCGTGCCAGGCGCCTTATGTAGAGTTTCATCGCGGCGTACTCTTCCTCCCCAAAAGATACTACTTTGTGCAGTGACCAGCTGGGTAAACCATATTGTTAGTATAAGATAGAGAGAACTGAGGGGGAATGAGCAGTTTAATGTTACCTTCGGTCTTTTTCTGCACTGTCATATAGTCAGTTGTATAGCAAACTTTCCAGCATAACTTCGGCATTGTCCTGTCTCCGGTTTGGGATTTGCCGGGAGTAACCTGTCCTTTCATCACTGGTTGATGCCGAAATATATCTGATTCCAGACACTTTTGTACAGTCAACCCAAAGATCAAAATCAACGTTTTTGACCTGTTTGTCTGTGATATGTGTTCCCAGGATTTGGATTGAGGCCTTGGGTGGAGAACTCAACTTTTCTCTTAGAGAAGATATCCTAGTTTCTGAAAGTTCGGCCATGGTTATTTGTCTTTCTTGGGATTCGTAATAATGGGAAATTGGTCTGTGGGATGGGAAAAAAAGAAACAAAACTACTTTCTTGGTTATATATGACTGACATGACTGAAGAGATGCGTCAGTCTTGCGAGCTACTTCGGATTATGGATCCGGCTCAGCTACCTCATATTATTGTCTCGGTTTGACGAAAGAAGCTGAGGAAGAAACTAGATGTAAATAATGTTGGTAACAGTTGTTTTGTTTGAGTAGATGGTGACATGTATCAGTGTCGCATAGTAAAACTTCCTCTCGACACTTAACAGATTTCTGCCTAAGAAATAGGAGAGTAACCATGTACATACTCCATCAACATGATCCCTCTCTTCCCAACGACCTGTCTCCTCCTCTCCCTCCTCTTCATCCTCATCCAGCACCGCAACGCCATTCGCTCTATATTCCGGAAACATACTACTCGGAGTTACACCCGTCTCCCCATCCACGAACACGAAGTCGAACTAGATCATCTTCACCGGTATGTATACTACATCTACATCACCCCACGTCGCTCGACCAATCACATCAGCTCCATCCTTAGAATCTCACCCATCCTACTAAACTTACCAGGCACATCAAGCAATGAGAATTACACCCCACGCACAATGACATGGATGAAAGATGACTAACAATACTACATCCCGTTTCAGTGATTATCGTCTCACCACCAATAGCCCTGCTTATCCCCCCGCAACCCCTCTCTCTCGATACTTCGACCCAGATACATCCGTCATATACCCGGAGGTCATGGAGCCGCCCTTTCCATCTATTCCGGAAATGGAAGAAGATTATTATTCGGCGGATGGAGACGAAGATGACGGGGAATGGGTCAATGGGATGGTGGATTCAGTGGTGAAGTGGGTGGTGGAAAAGGTACAGGAGGGGCCTTCTGATACTACCACTACCACTATTTGATGTGATGGGTTTCTTTGTTGTGGCTATGGGATATAACATAACAGAGGACATGCCGAGGCCCTGGTGTGTGAGGGAAAATAGGTCACATTATTATGATCTACTTCTAGGGACCTCACGCGATCGCGGGCCTACGTCACCGCCGATACCGAATATTAAGGCCCTGCAACCTGCAAGCCACGGCTTCTGCATGGCTTTGTGGCAGTGGTCAGCCTGGTGCCTTGGCTCTGGCTTGGTTGGATCTAGTAAGCGCCACGAGCGGACTTGATCGCGAAGAAGTTCATTTCGTCTATCATGTAATATACCTTTCATATGTATCGCTGCAAGTTGAAATGTACAGATCATAAAATGCCATCTATATAATCAAAAGCCTACGGGGCACAGTAGCCGCCATCAACCACAATGTCTGCTCCAGTGGTGTAGCTGGATGCATCCGATGCCAGGTACAGATACGCGCCCTTGAGCTCCTCGGGTTCTCCCTCGCGACCCATGGGAATCTTGTCCTTCCAGATGCCCTTGACATCATCTGGGATGAAATTCGAGATCTCTGTCGCGATGTATCCGGGAGAAACGGTGTTGGCACGCGCAAACTTAACCCACTCGACAGCCAGCGACTTGCCTGCATAGGGGATTAGTACATTGCAAGTCTATGCCTACAAGGTTATTCCACTTACAAAGATGGATGACACCAGCTTTGGAGGCGTTGTATGCTGCCTGCATCTGAGGGAAGTTGACAATGTGACCGCTCATGGAAGCGGTGGCCACAAAGCTGCCATAGGTGAAGTTGTTGAGCGCGTTACCGTTGATATCGGTGCCCTCCTCCTTTTGTCTCCTCCAGTGGGTTGCCGCTGCCCTAGCGCAGTAGAAAGTTCCGTTCAGGTCGACATCGACAACACTCGAGTAGTGGTCCAGTGGACCGTCAACCATGGGACCTTTAGTCCAGGGGATACCGGCATTGGCGATGAAAACGTCTAGTCGGCCATTGAAGTCTTTCACAACCTGGTCAACGGCCGCCTGCACGGCTTCGGGCTTGGTGATTTCGACCTTGTACGCCTGGGCTAGATTGAGCGTTAGTAAAGTATGTCTGACGGTAAGCGGGGAAAATGGTTTGAGGGCTACTGACCCTGGACACCATACTTGGAGGCAATCTCCGCGGCCCGCTCGATGCAGTTGGGGTTGCTGCTATACCACAAGGCCACATTTGCACCAGCTTCAGCCAGGCCAATAGCTACGGAAAGGCCGATGCCAGCACCGGCGCCGGTAACGATGGCAGTCTTGCCCTTCAGTGAGAACATGCTCAGCAAGCCGGGGTGGGCTGGAGCGGTAGTGTTGTTATGGACAAACAGTCCATGCTCCACAGGGTTGGCAGCCATTATCGGGTCTATAAGTGGGAGAGGGGAGCAATGAGAGAAGTTTCAAGGAAAAGGCAGGAGAGGCAGGGAAGAACGAAGTGAAGATGCGAGACAGGCTGGCCAGGTGGCAGGCAGCTTTATACCGCGGATTGGAGCTTAGATATACACCACTACAGTCATCAACGAAAAGACTATTAGAACAGCAAGCCCACTAGGAGACCCCCGCGCCGGTGAGGGGTCGACTGGGCCATTGCCCCCCCTCTATGCAAATGGTTGGCTCCTTTTCTGGAGTCGCAATATTCAGAGTTTGGGTTGGCTATCGAGGATAAGGTCTAGTTGCCCCGACTGGCCACGCTGACTCCATCCAGCTTTCTCGTCTGGTGGGTTATGGTGACGCTAAGCGGTCCCAGAGTCTCCAAGGCGGGTGAAATGGCCCAGACTGGGGAATTCGGGCGTGGGTTGACAACAGGCGCCCCATGCCCTGCTTCTGTAGCATTCGTTTGTCTTCTTTATCTCACCGAGAGTCCCCATCGGTATCGGGATCGGGATTCTTTTGGCATATGACGCCCTTCATCAGACGATGACCTCGGAAACATCAGGAGACACGAGATCTGAACGCCGAGTACTATGTCGAGGTTGATCAACATCGTCTGTTTCTCCAAATCCGAGAGGCCGGCGGATCCGGACGCGGTGTATTTCCGTCCCGCACCCCGTGACAGCGGCTGCCCGATTGGGGTCTCCCGGGGAGTCTCCACTTCCACCTCCACTTGCGCTTTTACCACGCGAAGCTGGGAAGGTCAATAGACACGCGCAGGGAGCTGCGTTGCTGAAGCATATGTTTCATGGCCTCAGTGATACTCATGGTTTTGTCAGGCTCGAGCCTGCATGCGGCGCCATATGGCATGCCAAGAAAAACAGCTGGATTCCCTCCAACCAGGACGTACAGTTCTAACAAAGTAGTAGTAGTACTTGCTGTTGCTAACTAATAGTACGAATGATGGTTGTTCGCACGATAACGGTCTCCATGAAGAGGGAATAGTTGGAATCTACCAGGTTCCACGAGCTCCAATAGTGCTCAATCCTTGATTGTTTCGCTAACATTCTTCCAGTTATCAGTGGAAACTCTACGGCCTCCTGTAGATCTGCTTGCATCTTGGCGATGGTCTATTCTCGAGTTATCTTCTAAATTGAGACATTACAGGAATTCTGGGACCGAGCTTCAGTTTGATGAGACCTCCCTCTCGCCAGTCAATAGCCTGCCGGGGAGGATGGTTGGTTGACATCGCAGCATTCCTCGCGAGCCGACAATAATGCTACCACATTCCCATGCCCCAGCCGGCTGCCATAACAAACGCAATGCTCCCTCACGAGCGCGCGTTTCCTCCCATCCATCATGGATCTCTCTGTTCTCTGATTATTCTTGTCCTGGCGTTTCCGTGGCTAGCAATTGCTACTCTTGCCTGGTCTTCGGCGCCGTTGAATGCCGTCCGGAACCTTTGTGGAACTGGTATAGACACTGGGCCAGGTACCAGCTCGAGTGTATGGGTTAACGCATCTCCACAAGTCTAAAGGAACCAGGGTCTGCCAGCTCTGGCACCGAAAGCAGGAAGAAGCGACAATGCCGCCATTGACCACGGTAATAGCGATAGCCGTGAGCTGCTCCGTCGTCTTTATAGTTTCTGCTATAGTTGGCACGGTCATCTGGATAAGAGTCCGTCAGGATCGTCTGTCGCTGGCGGTGGCAAACGCGAAGCAGGATGGATATGCTCTGCAACAATACCAGGGGGAGACGCTGACGGAACTCTCGCGGGAGGAGGGCACCGCATTGCGACAGTATGGACAGCTCCCATACGGAAAGCCGTCTGAGTGGGGAGTTCTTTCATCTCGCGAGAGTCTCATCCAATCCCCGGCGGACTCTGACACATCATCTCCTTTGGATGAAAAAGCCCGTGACATACGTCGTTCACTATCGCGGTCCCTGTCAAGCCGCTCAGCGCGACTGTCACGACATCTCCTAGGACCACAACGCCTCAGCTCACTGTCTCCACTGACAGAGCATTCAGAGAAGCGGCAATCGACTTCACCGACAGTATCTGGAATTGATGATGCCGTGCCGAACTCTGCTGTCGAGGGTGCGTTCGAGCTGGCGACGGAGACCACACCGCGGCATACTCCAGACAGAGAAGAAGAGCAATTGAGAGCAAGCCTCACCAGCCGACCAGGCTCTGGGGCATGGCCACTGAAGCATCATAGGGAGCGGTCCGGCAGCCTGTACCCGCTCATGGAGGATAAACAAGACGGTTGCAACCCATCAAATAGCAGGGTACGAGGGGGAAGCATTACTGCTCAAACGGCCGGGTCTGCACCCGAGCAACCTGTACCCCCACCACCATGTGCCTATCCACCAAATCGCTTCCGTTTGTCAAGGAACGACTCGACCTGCCTCTCATCGTTGAGCCTCGAAACCGCAGACAGCTCTATTTTGGAAGACAGCAGAAGAACGTCAACAAATGTCGACAGTACTTTCACATCGCCAGCTCTGCCTCCGTGTCCTACGTTCGCGCCGTTTGATGCCAACGATGTCGGACGGATGGAATATGACCGAAGAGGTCTTGGGGTAATTCCAGCTGTACCATCTCAATTCGTCTTTCCGTCAAGTTCTGGCACCGCGTGGGAAGCCCAGAGGCTCGAATCACCCCGCAGCTCTCCGCGTCGGAGCTTGACCACACGGAGTCCGAATCATTCGTCGGAACGCATCAGTCCATCGCCACGACGGAGCGAGTCTCTCACTGATAACAAAGCCAAGCGAGACTCGTCCCTGTGGGTGAAGCCTCTGGATCTGAGCCGTCCACCTTCCCTCAATCCAGTACCTAATGGAGCCTTGGTGCCACACTTCAGTCAAATGCAGCGGCGTTCGATGTATAGCGATCAGCGGAAAGAGCTCGATCCATTTTACAATGTGATGAGCAATTCTGTCATGAGCACTGATCCCCGATTGAAGCCTAGTTCTACTGGAATTCCGGATGGTCCTCTGCTAGGCCCGAATAGCCATCTTAAACCCCCTCTTCCCTCTGCACTCAAAGGAAGCAGTGGCACTCGCAAAGGCCATCGGCGGCAGAACTGCGTTCGGATCTCAATACATCCTCCAATCACCTTTAGTGGCCCAGTGTTCTCGCCCACGGCCGAGGAGCCTGAGGAGACCGAAGAGATCGATACCAGCCGGGCACAAGTTCCTAATTCATCAATCTCTCAAATCTCACTTCAGTCCAACGGTTCAGGCCTTTCAGTGAGTCGATTCAGCCAAGACGAGCAGCAGAAGGAGAACCCGCGAGTTACGGAGATTACAGATGAGCCACCCCGCAACTCGCAGGGAGGACCGCCCAAGCTTAGCGTGAACTCCCCTACCGATGCCGGGGATCGCACTCTAAGTATTATGGACATGGAGAAGTCCCTGCCTGATCTTGTGACGACTCTACCGCCCCCCAAGATTGATACCAGCCTGTCGAAGACGCCATCTCCGGAAAAGAATAGTCCGATCTGGATGATTCCACATTACAACAGCTCGCCGACGGGTTTTGAAAACTCCTCGAACCCTGGCAGTCCGCGCCGTACAGCCGTCAAGGGACCGCGTCAACCTCCGCCACGATCAACAGCACGCAGCAGCTTCCGCTCACTGAATCCCCTTGATGATAATGCCATGACGCAGTCAAGTCCGCCGATGCGTCATTCGCGTGGTCCCAGTATGGGCAAGGAACCAGTTAGAAATGCAGCCGAATCACCATTGCGTCCGAAGAACGACCCCCAAAACATGGTGGCTCCGCGGTACCACGGTAGTCCGCATCAGATTGTTTCTCCGATCAGACACTCTCAGGCGCAGCTCTGGCGGCCAGCGGCCGCTGTGCCAAAACCGCCAACTGCGAACAGCGGTATCATAGTTCCCATTTGGGAAGACCGGGCTTCGGAACCCAAGGGAAAGGGTCCGCGGACTTCTTCAGTTCTTTCGCCCAGCGAACATTCAGCACAAGTTGGGCGGGCAAAGAGCCACCGATTAAAGCCCGGCCCCGGCAGTGCCCGACACGGATTTCGAACCCCGACGAAAAAGCCTGTTGGACTGGGTATTGGAGCAGCTACACCGGGAAGCTTGTATGATGGGGATGGGTTCCTGAAAGAATAGGTGCATGGAAGGACTGATAGTTGGCAGCGGCGTTGATTGTTTCTCGTGTTTCCTTTGCTTGGCTAGCGTGCGGGCGTGTCTACCCTCCACTGTAAAGATGAACGTAGGTAATTGGTAGGACTAATAAAAATACCTTAATCTAAACATGATGGCCATGATCTTCTCGAAGCACTCAGTAATTGATCTGTTTCATAACAAGGTACTAGCATCTATCATTACAGGAATATTCCCCAACATACACCTATGCATACATACACCATAGGTAAGTAGAGATACAAACAAATAGGAGCAAAGAGCCCAAGAGAGGAGGATAGAAAGAGTCCTTCTAGTCTGTCCTCCTCCACTTCGTCTCCTCCCCTCCATTTCCATCCCCATTAACACCCTCCTGCCCATCAACCGCCCCCTCATCCTCCTCCCTCTGCCTCACTGTCCCAGCCCCCGGCCCCAAAGGCAACGTCGGCTCCTCACCACCAGCAATCCAATTTCCCTCCTCATCAAAAAATTCATGCATATTCTCCGCCGTAATCCATCCCGAACTCCCTTCGACCGGCGGCGGCAACCCGCCCTCCGCACTGCCCATCGACACTAACCCAGATTGAAACGCACCTTCCTCTCCTTCATAATCATCCTCGTCCTCATCACCGGGCTCAACCGGATCCGGGTGCAGATTCGAGCACGCAGACACAGCAGCGTAGAGGGTCTGGGTGGGCGTTTCGGGCTTTTCGTCCCCTTCCTCGGCGGGGGAAGAAGATTCTTGGGTGGGAGTCTCCGGGACGACTGTTACTGTGAGGGCGTCTTCTTCGTCGTCGGCGGAGGAGTAGGAGGAGGTAGTCGGGTTGGCGATTTGCATGTACAGGCCTTGCACTTGGTCTTCGGAGCTGGGGAGCTGGAGGCGCTGGATGGCGTGGAGGGAGATGGAGGGGTAGGGGATTGAGAGGCCGGTGTTGGTTGTGGGGTTGTGGAGGAGGAATTTTCTGGGTTGTTATTAGCATCTCTTGCATACAGTTCTGGTTGTGGAGGGATGAGAGATTGGTTAGGTCGGGCTACTCACTCAGACGTAACCCACACGTTCACACCGGAAATAACGATCTCCTTGTCTCCCTCTTCTTCAGTGGTGCCATTTGCGGTGGAGGCTTCGCGCAGAGCACCTAGTGCTGGGACTGCGAGGGCTTCGCGCTCCAGGAGCACGAGTTTGCAGTTGTGGTGGTGGGAGTAGAGGATTGGCGGACCGGAGTGGAAGGAGCTTGGGGTGCGGGATTGGTGTTCGGCGAGGGGGATGAAAGTTGTTGTGTCGGGGGGTGCGGCGATGGATTCCATTTTGGAGGACGGAGTTGCTAGTTTCGAGGTGTGAGGTTGAGGAAGTGTGGTGGTGGTGAGGGAGGAGGGAAGAAAAGAAGATGATGGAGCTTTTGCGGGCGGAGCAAAGCTAGATTATCAGTAGCTGATGATGGCAGTTGATATCCGCCGGGCGGGTGGGGGGGTCTACCACGGTTTGTTTCTACGTCGGTTTCGCTGCTTTGGATAGGTGTACTCTTGCGGAAATTATTTGGGAATATGTGATGTTATTATGATTGATGCTAGGCTCGTTTATTGGTGATTGTTTGAGCTAGCTGCTTATGGGTACCAGATATGGTTATATGGCTGTGCTCTTGCTGGCGCAGGTTGCGGACTGCCGCGGTTCAGCTAGTTCAGATGCACAGCGCCCTGCACTGGTGATCTCTTGCAGATTATGGTGCGCACAAGCTTGAACTTTATCCTGGCATGGGACGAAGGAGTGCGCTACTATCCCCGCCAAAGCAAGGGCCCATAGCATCCACCTGCAGCGGTTTCAGCAGCCACAGCGCGGTTCATGGCCTTCCCCGAAGCCACCCCCGGTATGTTGTATTTCAAACCATCTGCGCGCAGCTCTCATTTCACGTCCAGTCCACCAAATGCTCTATCCAATTCTTCACCTTCATCTCGTGGTACCATGGACGGTAGTGCGGCCGCACTGGGGTCGGAGAACGAGCTGTCTAAGAGACTAGGTTGAGGTTGGCCCTGTGCTCTAGGGCCAGCAGCCGCGTTACTCGGTTGAAGTAGTTTCTCGTCTCTGTCTAGCCATCCGGGAGCCACACGTCGCTTCTCTGCCAGGTCGCGCTGGGTGATTGAGTCCTCCCAGCCCCGGATTGCCTTCTCGGCTTCGGCTCGCGTCTTGTTCAGGTGCTGCTCGAGGGCGTTGCAGGATGCTAAGATCTCTTCTGGGGAGGCAGCATGCTCGCCACTGGCTGAGACCACATAGCGAGGTTTGACATCGGGGTTACTTGAGTCGACTGTTACTGAAGGGGGGATGGTCGAGGGAACGGACTTGTAGGTGTAGGGGAGAGTGACGGAAGTGGGGAGATTGATGAAGGGGGAAACGGTCAGGGGGACCTGAGCCAGCAGGGGATGGGGGCCTGTCTTAGTCAGTTGATAAGCCAAACAGGAGTTGGAAGACGTTACTGACGATAGGACTCATACATGGTGGATGATGGATTGGATTGAGAGTAACAGGAAAGAGCGAGGAGAGACAGGACAAGAGTATCTCCGTCTACCTGAGTAATGATGGCATGAGATCCCCCGCGGGCGGCGTAATTAATTACAGGGACTGTAACGAAGCGGGAGTTATCCGCCGGCTGAGAATTACCGTATTTACGGTTGGTCTGACGTCGAGGGAGTCTCGCAATGAAGAGAGAGGGAGAGATTAGATTCAATGAATCTTGAGCACGAAGAGGGGGGGCTAGTTACTTAGTAGTTTGCATCTTACACGATAATTGGCTTATTCTTCCGAGTCCATCTTTTCTAGTGACTCTCTGCAGAAAAGGTGGTCAGGCTGTCTTTTCAGCCTCTTTTCTCCAGCCTTGACGATATCGAGCTGAAGGCCGACCATCTCCTATTCGGGTTGCACTGCCCGGCGCCTCTCCCCATCTTCCTCCTCTTCGCTCGTCCCTCTCGTCTTGTCCCTGACCCACGCTTTAGCCTCAATTTTTCCAACCCTATTTCGCTCCCCTCCTTGTCAACTTCGGAATCGCCACCTCGTAGGATTTTTGGTGATCCGTCCAGCTTGTTCCTACAACGGCCAGTCCTCGCGATCTCCGCCTGTCTCGTGTGTGAAATCCAATCCCGCCGCCGCTTAACCCCCCACCAACAACTGGCCTCCGCGCTGGTGTCTTTCCCCTTTTCTTCGCCTCCTCGCAACCCCCCGGGGCACGACGTTCTTGTGATTTCCCCAGATCCAAGATCTACGTCCTCCCTGTCACTTGAGTCACCATGGATCGCACTATCGCGCGTGCGGTGACGGATAAAAAGCCGGTCCCGGAGATCGACTTTACGTTACATGTTATGGAAGATGGCACTCAGGTGTCGACCTTGGAGCGAGTAATTAAAGGTAACGCCACAATGTTTTTCTTCCTACCCTCCTTCTACTTTATTATCGGGATGAACACCCCATTAACTACTCTATGGTCTTTCAGAGGTGCAAGCGCCGGCGTTGAACACCCCGCCGGACGACCTGTTCTGGTCTCGTGAAGACCCTTCCAAGCCCAACCTGCAGTTCCTCAAGCAGCACTTCTACCGCGAAGGTCGTCTCACTGAAGATCAGGCGCTATGGATCATACAGGCCGGTACTCAGCTTCTCAGGGCTGAACCCAACCTGCTGGAGATGGATGCGCCCATCACCGTGTGCGGTGATGTTCACGGACAATATTACGATTTAATGAAGCTCTTCGAAGTCGGCGGAGATCCGTCCGAGACGCGCTATCTCTTCCTCGGTGATTATGTGGATAGAGGTTACTTCAGTATTGAGGTTCGTCTGATCGCAAACTGTCTGGTAATTGCCACACCCACTGACTCGCGTGCTACAGTGTGTCCTGTATCTCTGGGCTCTGAAGATCTGGTATCCGAATACGCTTTGGCTCCTGCGGGGTAATCACGAATGTCGGCACTTGACGGACTACTTCACCTTTAAGCTCGAGTGCAAGCACAAATACAGCGAGCGCATTTACGAGGCATGCATTGAATCGTTTTGCTCCTTGCCGCTGGCGGCGGTCATGAATAAGCAGTTCCTCTGTATCCATGGAGGTCTCAGCCCCGAGCTGCACACTCTGGAAGACATCAAGGCGGTATGTTATAGGCTGAACACTACATCGGTTGGACTGGTGGCTGACTTAGCGACAGATTGATCGCTTTAGGGAGCCCCCGACTCATGGCTTGATGTGCGACATCCTCTGGGCCGATCCTCTGGAAGACTTTGGGCAGGAGAAGACTGGAGATTACTTCATCCACAACAGCGTCCGCGGATGCTCGTATTTCTTTTCGTACCCCGCGGCGTGCGCGTTCCTCGAAAAGAACAATCTCCTCTCCATCATTCGGGCGCACGAGGCACAAGATGCCGGTTACCGCATGTACCGCAAGACACGTACGACCGGTTTCCCCAGTGTCATGACCATCTTCAGTGCTCCCAACTACCTGGATGTCTACAACAACAAGGCCGCCGTCCTGAAATACGAGAACAACGTCATGAATATCCGACAGTTCAACTGCACGCCTCACCCGTACTGGCTCCCCAACTTCATGGACGTCTTCACCTGGTCTCTTCCCTTCGTCGGTGAGAAGATTACGGACATGCTTATTGCCATTCTCAACACCTGCTCTAAGGAGGAGCTTGAAGATGATACCCCCACGTCCGTCTCGCCCACCGCCGCACCCCCCTCTCCTCCTGCAGCGATGGATGTTGAGAGCAGCGAGTTCAAGCGACGTGCGATCAAGAACAAGATTCTTGCCATTGGACGTCTGTCGCGTGTATTCCAGGTGTTGCGTGAAGAGTCCGAGCGGGTCACCGAACTCAAGACCGCTGCTGGAGGTCGTCTCCCGGCGGGTACTCTGATGCTGGGAGCGGAGGGTATCAAGCAGGCTATTACCAACTTCGAAGATGCTCGCAAGGTCGATCTGCAGAACGAACGTCTGCCCCCTTCGCAGGAGGAGGTCATTCGACGCAGCGAGGAAGACAGACGCATTGCCCTTGAGCGGGCGCATCATGAGGCAGAAAACGATGCCGGGCTGGCAACTGTGGCCAGGCGGATTAGCATGTAAGTGAAGCAGAACGATTGTTCCGGACCATCGTACTAACAATTTCCAGGTCGGCGGGATCGGGCAAGACTCGGCGACAAAGGGATGCTACTCGGGACTCTCGAGAAGCATGAGCGATTAGGAAGTAACTGGGTGTTCCATCTGAACCAGCATCTTTCGAAGCGGCATGCAGAGGTACTGCATTTCGGGGTACTATTTACTCCGTGTATGGGCCGAATCAATTGTCACCCCAAAAACGCGAGCGTGGTGACAGTTGCAGTTGAGTAGCTCCTATACATTGTCGCGAGAGATTACTGTATTGCATAATGGAGAGGTGGACAGGGGGGGCTTTTGTGTAATTCCTGCACAGCAATCGAGCGTCCGTGACGACTCGACCATGAGTTGATGAATCGATACACCATGAATTGAGCTGTTCGTATTGTACAGACTAGTTTATTAAAATAGTCAATCTGATTACTGTGGATTATCGTTACCCCATACTCCATAGCCACTCTTTCAAATCTAAGCTATAAGCTACGCTACGCCAAGACCGCCGAAAGTCCCGCGCCAGAATCTCCGACCGGCCCTGCCTACATCCTCCACCACCTCCTCCCCCATCCCATCCTTCTTCACCAAATACGCAGTCAATGCCTCCCAAACTCCGCGGCACGCTCTCCAAGAGCCTGTCGCAGATTCAAGACTCCTCCTCATCCTCCTCATCAGTATTCTACTGCCCGTCTTGTTCCACTTGGCGCCGTTCTCTCTCCTCGCGTCGAACCCGACTACAATTACCACAGCAACAACATCAACAACAATCATGGGCATCCTTGCAGCGTAGCGGCATTGCGACCACTTCTGTCGTTCACACAAGACATATCCCTCCCCGATTGAAGGATCTACATGAAGCTTTGAACCGGGTCAAGGATGTTGCGCCGGAGCAGGTGAATTTGAGTCGGTTGCAGCTTGCGTTGAGGGGATTGGAGAGTGAGAAGCCGGTTGTTAGAGTTGCGGGTAGGTCTTTCTCTTCTCTCTCTCTCTTCTAGTACTTCATGTTTTGGCTGGGGAATGCTAATGATTGGGCCAGTTCTGGGTCTGAATGATGCGACTGCGGCGCGCAGGCTCGTTCGGTTGTTGTTGGCGGATCCGCTGAATTCGAGGGAGAGCTGGGAGGATGCATTGGATGCGTATGGTGAGGATACGGAGAGGGGATTGTTGATTCGGTAGGTCCACATTTACAAATACATGGTATTAAGAATGGGGGATAGGTACTAAGTTACATGCAGGTACGGCGAAGTCTCCGAAACAATCCCCAACGATCTCCTCCCTACGATCTCGGTGCCCTCGCCCATTCTGAAGAAGGGGAATTTGGAAATTCTCGTTACGACGCTCGGTGCTGAGTCGGCTGGAGTCGCGGACGCTACTCAGTCTCATCCATTTACGGCTGACACCTTCCTCGTGCCTACGGTTACGATCCGCACGTCGCATTCCGGCCGGCATAATATGGTGCGGTATCCTGTGCATCGAAGCATTGTATGCGGTAGCGGTGTCGATGGGTTTCTGGCGTATAGCGGACTGATGGCGCGGTCGGACTTGAAGAAAGAAGCTGTGTCGGTCTTTGGGGCTATTGAGCTGGCGGTCACGGAGCCACAGAAGTACGACGGCCGGGTCGCGTTCGTGGACATTGACAAGGCGGATGAGGCGTTGGCAAAATTCCGAGAGTCAGTGCAGAATGCGTCGCTCTACGAACGCGGCTGGAACAGCAGTGGTGTGCAACCAGTGGTGGACTGGTTGTCTTCGCTGCGAGCTGAGGAAGGGACGCTGGATCCGTCCTTGCGGACGTTGATCACTTCTCTTCTGGATGCCGCGGAGGCTGGTGCAGCCGCTGCTGAGAAGAGGAAGCTGTTGGAACAGGAGAGTGGCGCTGTGTCGTGGGAGACTCGCGATATGCTTGAACGATCCGTGTCCGAGTGGGCGGAGCGCGGGCACAGGGAGCTCCGCAGCTCACTCGAGGAAGGGTTTGCCAGCAAGCCGTGGCGCGGACTGGCTTGGTGGAAGCTGTTCTGGCATGTGGACGACGTGGGAATGATCACGTCGGAGATTCTGGGCCGGAAGTACCTGCGTCAGGCCGAGAAAGAGGTCATCTGGACTGCCGGCCGGTTCCAGCAGGCCGGATTGACCGATGCGACTCCCATGCAAGAGGAGCAGACGTCCTGGCCAGCACAGATTGCGACCAGTCGTCGCCGGCTCATGGAGACGACAGTGCCGTCGCTGCAGGCATTGGCGCAGCGTCTGGTCTTGTTTAGCATGTCCACGACCACCCTGACCTCGGCATTGTCAGCGCTAACCTACGTCTCGCTGCCGGCTGCCACCATCTACGAGACCTGCACGATGGCCGCCATCGGTTTGATCTACTCGCTACGCCGCCAACAGCGCAAGTGGGAGTCCGCGCGACACTGGTTCGAGAACGAAGTGCGCGAAGACGGCCGCACCGCGCTGCTGGAGACGGAGACGCAGCTGCGCGAGACCGCCCGCGAGGGTGGCCGACAGGTCGAAGAAGTGACGGCGGAGAAGGACGCCAGAGAGACGATCGAGCGCGCACGCGCAGCTCTGAAGGAGCTCCAGTAGAGGCAGTTGCCAGCAGATAGGGTACCTAGCTAAGCATGTCATGTACAATAGACTCATCCCATCATCCACCTTCCCATATCTGACCCATAACTTAATCCCCCCCTAACTAAGTTCAATACTCCCCTCCGGTACCCCCTTATAACTCCTCAACCTCCTCGCCAAAAACTCCATCACGGGTCTCATCTCATCCGCATTCCGGGGCATCCCATCCCCGCGCCTCTTATACCTGCTCACCTCAACGAACTCAAACCACTCCTTCGTCCTCCTCACGCCCGCAGCACTCACAGCCGTACTCCTCTCCCCTCCATCTTCCTTCCCCGCAACAACCAACACCGGCGTCCTACTCTTCCCAGTCCCAGACGCAGGTGCTTTCCCAGATAACCCCACCGGCGCACCAATTGACACCACGCCTCCCAGTTCCCGATCCCCATCTTTAACCCCCTCCGATAAATCTTTAAAGTGTCTAGCAACCTCCAACCCCACCATCCCCCCCTGCCCGATCCCAAACACTATAATATCCCGTCCCCTGTATCCGCACTTCTTCAGTAACGTATCGACAATCACCTCCTGTATGATTGTCTTCGTGGAGCGACTGAACCCGGCGTCCATGTCGAGGTCCCCCGCGGGGCTGAATGTGATGTCGTCGCCCCAGTGGAAGCCGCCTAGGTCGAAGGGGAGCGGGGTCGGCGCTTGGAGGGTGAGGATGGTGGTTTCCGGGAGGTTGAGGGCGCGGGCGAGCGTGCTGAGGTTTTGGCTTGTGTCGCCGATGCCGTGGAGGAGGAGGAGGATGTTGGGGGAGGATTGAGAGGTGGTGGAGGAGGAGGATGATGGGGGGGTGATGGTTAGGGTTAGATGTGAGGGGAAGTGCGAGGGGCTTGGGGGGGTAGGCATTTTGATTGTGGTTTGATTTGGAGTGATGTAATTTAGAGAGAGGAGCAGGAGTTGTAGATGGTCAAGTCGTGTGAGTCTTGTGGTTGTAGTTGTGGTGGTGGGAGACAGTAGTGTGAGGTTGGCGGGGTTGTTTGGTTATGATTTCTGAGTGTTGTGGTGGTTGTGTATTGGGTTCGTAGAGAAAAATAATACGATAAGTGTTAAATACTTTGTATATCTCTCGTAGCAGGGATAGATTCTTTGGGGTTGTTATAGCATGTAGTCGTAACGATATAGAAATTGATAAGAGGAATGTTGGTTGAAGTTTTGAAGCTCAAGCAGTTAGTTTCCTGTTTGGGACTAGTGCATATGTGGACAGTCTGTTAGTCCAGTTGATTGTATGAATTAGTCTGCAACGAGGCATGCGTGCAGTTCTAGACCACTGTTGACTTAATATGACTGCTTATTTGGTCATCCTGCAAGGTTCTCGCTTGTCTATATATATTGTATATTCTCTTGTGATTACAATTCAAACTTGATCATTTGTTCAAAAAACAGCCATGTGGTGGGACTAGCCCAATCTCCTCGATGATATACCTAGAGAGAATAGAAGTGCTATGCGTGGATTACTCCAGACTTAATTGGCATGGTCACTGCCTTCCATTTGACAGTGACATCTTTGCAGGTTTTTACACGTTAACCTGACGGGTGTTTCACTTCTTTAGGGTCTCGTGCCTCCCTACTTGCTTTTACAGCCGTCTCACTTCTTCATTTTACTTCCTGTTGTTATATTCTCTAAAAATTCTCTGGATTTTATTGAAAAGCTTCTTATAAGCCAAAGTAAACGAACTGGAGGAATTTCAACACTTTGTCACTATATGCAGACACTAGGAGTGAAGATGGGCATGAGGGTGTGATCGAAGTCATGTATAATTTGAATGAGAGGGAAATTACTGGGCTGCAGGCTAGAAATGAGGTCACAGAATGAAGGATGAAGCTCGAGTGGGATCTTATGCTTGGGGTTTCCATGTAATTTGTCAGTGTAATGGAGATTGAACATTGTCGTGGGTAGTAAGATTTCTAATAGTACAACTATGGCGAGAATGAGTCCTCAGTATTTCCGAATCCCATTCTAGTAGTCTCTTGTATGAGCCGTGATTGTGTTCCAAACTCTTAACTCCTCATTGAATTCAATACTTGAGATAGTCAATCAGGCCGTACAAGGCAGCGAGATACAGTGGAAAGGACACGCGTTTATTGAGTAATATCCGTTCTCATTCATGGTTGCCCTGGATATGTAGTATGGAACGCATAGACAGAGTTATTGTATATGCCAGATTCATGTGCAATACAGTCACACAACATATGCACATCATTGGAGGACATAATTCACATGCTGGAAAGTATATTTCATTTGCCGGCTTACCACTTTCCCGGAGCCAAGAATATCACGCAAGTGAGGCAATGAGAAAGGCATAGATTCACAACTCTCACCGAATGCCTCAAAGGCTAAGTGAAACAACACATCAGTGACTATGACGACATAATATTCTCAGCCAGCAAATACACTTAATTCGGAGATATTGTTATTAGACATTTTGTTTGAAAGAAAGAAAAGGTGGCATCAGCCAAGCCACACACCGCCACCACGCGGTGGGATGAGTGACTGCGCCACAGTGAGGGGCATTTAATTCGCACTATTGAGGAAGTGACCAGATCGGGCAATGGCAGTGGGGGGAATTCCACCGATTCCACCATTTCGCCCACTTGCCCGATTGTCCGAGACCCAAAATAGAATCCCAGTTTTAGGTGTGAACATGGAGGCTCTCAAGCCGGCTGGGAGTGTTTGAGACTAAAGTCCCTGACACTCGTCTGTGACAGCTCTCCCCCGATACACCGTTGATAGACTACAGATACCACCGAAAAGGCGGGGGAATTACTCACCCTCCACCTGATATTTAGACAAGCCTCACCAAGACGAGAAGCTGACCGGGTCGACCGGCTCATCTCACGCCCGCCAAGACTGGGCAAACTGTGGCTGCGGCGCTAAATGTACCAGAATGGATTCGCCCAGACTTAAGGCTGAGGAGATCCCCATCTCGACCCAGTCGCCCAGCAATAACATCGTGGTTCCGACCCTGGACGCGTACGTACGCACTCTGCTCAGGCGATGATCCGGATGGTCGTTGCTCAAGGCCGTGAGGACTCCAACTGGCCTGCAGGAGACACACGCAAGGGCATCTGCATGGCCCCCAAAACGAAGAGCAGGAACAGTCACTAGATAGATAGTAGCCTATCACCGTTGTAGCCTATGCGCGGTGTAGACAGTCGCTGCCTCGGCCGTAAGAATTGGACTAAGAGGGGCACACGATTGATGCTCCCAAAGTGACCACGGATCCCCAACCGGAGATACATGATTCCTCTTACATGATTGGAACCTGATGTTTCAACTTTTTGAGGCTAGTAGCTTACCCCTCGACTGCCCCTCCTGGACAATTCCGTGCCCATCACATCGCTCCACGAGGCTGTGGCTTGGTGCTTCTCGCCCTCACTGCCGCTCAATTATTCGGTTTCTCGTAGCGTCTAAGCGACGGTCTGTTCCAATCAAATCCCGATCCATCTATTCTCCCCAGGCGCTGCCTCCTTTGCGCAGTTTCAGCTGGCCTGTGTCCACTCCCTTCACTGGATGTGATCTTCCCCTCGATCCACCCTTTCACAGTCGGGAGCGAACCATATTGTTCTTTATCCGACGCCCCCAAGACTTTCGATGCATTTCCGTGAGATTAGACGGTGGGGCACTCTGAGGATGGGCGATGGAGGGGCGCCCCAAGAGAGCTGAAGATGCTGAGTAGGGTTGTCCAGGCAGCACATATATAAGATGCTCTGTCCTCTCCCATCGAGTCCTTCTTTTCTCTCTCTCTCATCAATCACTCTACTTCCTACTCTACCTTAAACTCTTCACTACTTCATACATCAATCATCATGGCCTGGGGCTGGGGTAAGTTACATACCCTCTTACACTTTTACCTCTCCATCTGGCCTGACCAGGTTCCCCTGTCTTGTCCTTGGCCTCGTGCCTTCACCAACACGACGTTTATCAGGGCCTCCAATAGCTAACATGGATCTCTAGACCAATCCGACGACGCTCACCGTCAGGTGTACGAGAACAAGCACGAGGGTCACTTGTCCCACGAGCTCCTTGCCGGTGCCGCTTCCTTCGCGGGCATGAAGGCCTGGGAGGACCACCAGCGCAAGCAGGGTATGAATGCACCATTCAGAACCATTCCAGCCATGAGGAGTTTGCCATGCTAACCACACCTGACCTATAGGCAAGACCGTCAGCCACGCTTTCGCCAAGGAGGCCCTTGCCGCCGTTGTTGGCGCTGAGGTCGACAAGCTCGCCGAGACCAAGGGCATGGACGAAGTTGACAAGATCAAGGCCCGCGAGCACGCCAAGAAGAACGCTCACCACATGTACGAGGAGCACTACGAGCGCCAGCACGGTGCTCCCGAGTTCGACCCCGGCCGCTTCCCTCCCCCTGACCGCTTCGAGGGCCGTCGTGGTGGCTGGTAAGAAGCCTCTTTGTGTGTGATGGGAAACCAACTGGATTTGGGACCTATCCGCGGGGGATGGATGTGTGGAATGAAACGAATATGATCATGGATTGAGAGCGCCGATACACGGCCTCTCCTGCATGTATTCTTATCTAATAAACCAAGATATCCAAATGAATTATTTATCTCAAAGCAAACCGGCCTATCTTTCCCTTCACATCCATACCAAACAAACAGTAGAATCATGAATCTTGCCCTGGAGACGAATATGCAGGATTCCACCCGTTCAGGAAAGCTCGCGGATTATCAATGCGTTGACCGTAGGCAAGGGTCTATTGTACGCATGGATGCAAGGTGTCCGGGAGGCGACGGGCGCATCTCCCACATGGGTTTCCAATGTTGTAAGACAATGTTTGATGTCAGCTAACACATCAATATCGATTGAAACTCTTGCACCTGTCGGAATGATTTCGCGTCCCAGAAAGCAACCCCCCTCAACAGGGGTAATTACCCAAGCAGGGCAGATTATCCACGGAACCTGGACAAACATCAACCTCGGGATGCCTGAGGGGGCGGCGAAAGGCGGTCTGGCCCTATTCTCTCTATTTTCTGTATTCGGAACGGGGTTCATCCTGAAGCCAAACTCCAATAGGAAGATTAATCCGGCGGCGAGCAAATGAGCTCATTGCATCGTGCACGTGCAGCCATCGCAGCCTATCAGATGCCTGCGCAGTCCGATTTGGGGCCTGATTGCCAAATGGAAGGGCATGAATCGGCTTGTCTCGCACGATGACGAGTGCGATCGTATCTCAAAGTTTTTCTGCGTCGATTGGGAGTTCATCCTGGTTCCCTTCGCTTCTGCCCCTTGTGTGCCCTGTCTTGGTTGGCTCTTTCTCCTCTTTCTCCTGTTGGTCCGGCTCGTAATCGAGGTGATAATGACCGTCCCGGTTCCAAACTATTGGGTCGCTTGATTCGAACAGGAAAAGAAGAGCAGAAAAAAGAAAGTTTTCGAGGCGTCGGCTGCTTCTACGGGAGCTGAAAGTTTCTCGTCCTTCGTTTGCCAGCTACTATATATGTCCTGATACGCCAGTTTTGTTTCTCGCCGTGACTTGTCGCCAATGCGATTGTTGGTTCTGTTATATACCCTCGTGGCCGCCGTTTGCTCGTTTGCGTCCAGTATCATGCCCGGCTATAGCTCCGTTTGCTCACGATGAAATTCGCCAAGTTAGTTACATTCCCTCCAACTACCTGAAGCTTGTGTTATAGAATCCAAGAATAACCAACGGTGAATTAGGGAGCTGGAACAGCAACTGGTTCCAGAATGGCGCGCCAAATATCTAGATTATAAGGTCAGTATGTCCGTTGCCGTGCTGCTGTTTTTCTTTTCTTTTCTTTTCTTTTTCTGGCTTCAGTTTGGATGCTAACGGGTCTCTTGCTTTTTTTCCCCCTTCTAGACCGGCAAGAAGAAAGTCAAAGCAATTTCTCGCGCTCTCCAAAAGACGACTCGAAGCCCCAGTCATCCCTCTCTTCAACAACACAATGCTTCCGCGCATGACGACCAACATGACCGTTCTGCTGGTTCTGATGGCCCGTCCCCGTTCCGACGCTCCAGTAGTAGAGTCGATTCCAATGATCCCTCCCACATTCCTTCCACACCTATAAGAAGCACTGGTCCTACGCCACGCTCACCGCGCTCGGGCTCTAGCCGCAGTGAGCGTCAGCCCCTGCGTGTACCCGGGTCTCGGTTTTCGGGCGTCGTTGGAAGCTACGGAAGTATCGTCCCCTCCCCTCCGCTGAACGCTGCATCATCGGACGTCGCCTCCCTTCGCCTGCCAGATCCCGCAATCGACCCAAAGCAGGATGACTACTCGACGGAGAGGGATACAGAGCAGCCCAGTATACCTGAGACTCCATCGCCGGTGATGTCGCGGCATGCGAGCACACGGACAGCGACCAAGGGCATGGTTCACCGGAGTCCTGCAACGCCCCAGAAGGATAATAAGCGGAATACGATCTCAGGCCCTACAAACCGGAGAGGATCGTTGCTTCAGCGCGTCCTGTCCTATCCGGAATGGGAATCCCCAGAGAAGCGTGGAGCGGATGAATCTTCCGAATTCGAGAAGCGACAGGACGAGTTCTTCGCCTTCTTGGATGGCGAGTTGACCAAAATAGAATCCTTCTATCAGATGAAGGAGCAGGAGGCTGCAGAACGCCTCAAGGTGCTTCGTCATCAGCTGCATATCATGCGGGACCAACGCACACAGGAAGTTCTAGGTGCCAAGTTGGCACGGCCAGAGAAAGAAGGGACGCAGAAGTCTCACACTTTCGGCCCTCTTGGCGGCCTCGCTGGGTTCGGTATACGCGGCGCTCTCACTGGCCGTCACTTCGGGAAGAATTCAAAAGCCCTGGCCGAGTTGGGCACCCCGTCAGCAGCCTTACAGGGACAAGATCAAGATCCCGACCGTACAGTGACGCGTCGGGATTTCATCCGTCGGCCGGAAGACCCGACAAATAGCGACGTCTCTTATCGCTCCGCTAAAAGGAAGCTGAAGCATGCGCTTCAGGAGTACTATCGCGGTGTGGAGCTGCTGAAGGCTTACGCCTACCTGAACAGGACTGCTTTCCGGAAGATCAACAAGAAATATGACAAGACTACTAATGCGCGTCCTGCGCAGCGATATATGTCTGAGAAAGTCAACAAGTCGTGGTTCGTTCAAAGCGAGGTTACTGAGAATCTGCTGTCTGCTGCAGAAGACCTGTACGCTCGTTACTTCGAGCGCGGCAACCGCAAGATCGCCGCTTCGAAATTGCGCCATACTATCAACAAGGCCGGGGACTACTCCCCATGCACGTTCCGTGCCGGTGTGCTCTTGATGGGTGGTGTCCTATTTGCTGCTCAGTCATTAGTATATGCGGTGCAGAATCTTCGTAACCGGGATGGCGATGTGAAGACTCACACAAGCTACTTGCTTCAGGTCAGTATTAATTTGTTCCGAGTGCCAGCTGTTAGCTAACTGTGCGCAGATTTATGCTGGCTATTTCCTCGTGGTACTCCATTTCTTACTGTTTTGCCTAGACTGTATGGTCTGGACTCGGGCCAAAATCAACTACGTCTTTGTGTTTGAATATGATACGAGGCATGCATTAGACTGGCGCCAGCTTACCGAGGTAAGGTGTTTTATCGTGGGCTTTTTGACTGTGTCTGACTGTAACAGCTGCCGTCTTTTTTCTTCTTTCTGCTGGGTCTCTTCATGTGGCTCAACTTCATGTCAATTAATAGCATGTATATTTATTGGCCTGTTGTCCTTATCGGCTTGACTACAATCATTCTTTTCCTGCCCGCGCGGACGCTATACCACCGCAGCCGCAAATGGTGGGCATATTCTAATGTGAGTGATACCGCCCTGGCGGGTTCCAAATCACTGCTAACGAACCTAGTGGCGCTTGCTTCTGGCAGGGTTCTATCCTGTCGAGTTCCGTGACTTCTTTCTGGGAGACATGTATTGCTCCCAGACATACGCCATGGGTGTGAGTAACCCGGTTTTCGTACAAGGAAGATGTTGTGGCTGATCTTCGTTAGAACATCGCATTATTCTTCTGTCTCTACGCACACCATTGGGGCGACCCTCCCCAGTGCAATTCTTCGCATTCCAGGCTGCTTGGATTCTTTAGTTGCCTACCGGGCATCTGGAGAGCTCTGCAGTGTCTACGACGTTACGCAGATACAAGGAACGTCTTTCCGCATTTGCTGAACTTTGGCAAATACACGTTCACCATTTTATACTATGTCACTTTGAGCTTGTACCGGATCAACAAAGTGGAACGCTTCCAAGCGACGTTCATCACCTTCGCGCTGCTCAACGCTGTCTATGTTTCGGTTTGGGACCTTGTTATGGACTGGAGTTTGGGGAACGCCTACGCCAAGCGCCCGTTACTGCGCGACGTCCTGGCGTTCCGTCAAGCATGGGTATACTATGTTGCGATGGTCATCGACGTCATCGTGCGATTCAACTGGATCTTCTATGCTATCTTCACAAGGGATCTGCAGCACTCCGCGTTGCTCAGCTTCTTCGTGGCGCTATCAGAAGTCTGCCGACGAGGTATCTGGACGATTTTCCGTGTGGAGAATGAGCACTGCACCAACGTCCTGCTGTTCCGAGCGTCCAGAGATGTGCCTCTACCCTACCAGGTCTCCCTCCCGCCAACGCAGGTTGACCAACAAGCAGATGGCGTGCCGCTGGAAGAGCAGCAACCGCAAGCACACGATGTGGAGCATGGCACCCCGTCCACTCCAGGCATGTCGGTCCGCAATCGCGGCCTCTCCCGTGTCGGCTCGTTGCTGGCTTCAGCGCATGCACAGGACTTTCAGCGGAAGAAGCGTCCAGGCCAAGATCCAGGGGATCAGCCACTCCGTGGCTCAGAGGATACACCGGATGACTCCACTGACGATGAATACCACGACGGCAGAGCGTCCTTGGACGATGATGTGATTATGGAAGAGCTTCCATTCCACGAGGAGCGGAACTAGAGGGGAAGCAGACAGTGACTAATGGGTGACAACTTGCCTCACGATTTCTTTTCATGGCATATATATTACGATAGATATGATACATACTAAACATAATAGAGGCATATGATAGGCATAATGGCAACACTATAGTACTCTTATGAGCCTAAATAGCTTCAACTTTCCTGTATTGGATTCTCATACTTCATGTAGTAAAGTAGTGCAATCCAACAGCACAATCGTAGTCAATCTTGGGCATTACAAATGATCCAACACTTATCATGCTAGAACATACTAGATGGCAATAGTAGATATATGCCTAAGGCATAAACGAGCAATCAGGTGACACCACCGACGTCACCTGCCCCGGAGCGCCGTTGAGCCGCGGCGCCGCTGCGGTTCTCGACCCTCTCCTCTCCTTCCTTTCCCCGATTAGTCTATCCTATCTAATATGCCAGACTGTCCCATCGACTCATTCATCCAATTTTAATTGTCTGAGAGCATCGCAGTCTCTTACGATCATAGTAGCAAATGGCAGCTAATACCAGATACGAGCCTGCTCCGCAGCGCGACTCCTTCGAGGAGCGCGCCTATCCTCAACCCCCGCCGTCTTATCAGGCAACGGCCGACTACTCGCAAGCAGCGCCACGCAGCGAGGACGACAATGTTCCTGATGATTTCAAGGTAGCTTACCACTTTCACCCACATTCTTCCACAGACTATATCAGTTGCTAACAGTCAATGTAATTAGTTCGGCGGCACCGTCGCGGAGGGCACCCTGCCCATCCGTATGCAGTTCATCCGGAAGGTCTATGCGATCTTGTAAGATCACCAGCTCTACCTATTCCCCCAGGTTCCATCAAGCACATCTACTAACCCATCCATGAAAATGAAAACAGGACGGCCCAACTCCTTCTCACCACCATCCTCAGCTCCATTTCCTTCTTCAGCCCTAACTACCGACTCTGGATCCAATCCAACTTCTGGCTCATGATGGTCTCCGTCTTTGGCGCCCTGGGCTTCATGCTCGTCACCTACTGGAAGCGCAAATCCTACCCGGCCAAC